ATGGGCTGGTCTAGTAGTGCCTGGGCCCATGCTGTGAACTAAAAAGGACACAAGCCCAACATCAAAAACTGTCTCAGTGGAAAGTGTGCCTGTGTGTGCGTGTGTGTGTGTGTGTTTTGTATGTGTATGCAAATTTATTGGGTGTGGGCCGTGTTCCCCAGCTGTCTCATTTTTTTGTGTTTCATAACAAACACACTCATATCACATCCTCATGACTCTGAGGCAAGGTGTGAGTTATATAGAGATATAGAGATATAGAGACTAACCATCAAAAAGCACTCTCAGTTGCTTCAGCTCGCATTTCCATTTCATCACAGTGTTCAGTAATATTAAAACTAATTTGTTTCAGAAACATGTATAAAAGCACTGACATTCACATTGTGCTCAGGTATATTAAAGTGACTCGAGTTTGTTTTTGTTTTTTTTGGTGGTGTGTAATCAATTGGTGTGTGTGTGTGTGTGTGTGTGTGATGCAGCAACTAATCAGGTAAATACTAATCCTCAGCTATGTACTAATCCACAGACAAAGAAAAATTAGCATATTTTGAAACCTATATGTTTCGATAAGGACAGTGTAATTGATGCAAAGCACTGCTCTTATGAAGCATAAAAACTATTTAGAGAGAGACAGACAAAGAGAGAGAAACAAAGAGAAAGAGAGAGTCTGAAGCTGACCTGAGGCCTCTTACAGCACTGTTCCAAGTTCTGGCGCTGCAGGGCTTTCTGATTGGCTGTGAGCTCTGCCTCAAAGCACGGTCGCTCCAGGCACAACACAGAAGATAAAGAGCAGTTTGAGTAGAGATGAATGTTTAATCAGAACAGTGTAAGGCTGGAAGAGTGTCAGCAGATAAAGCAGAGGAACAGTGCAGCGTAATGACTCTGTTTGTTTTGTACCGCTGTGTGTGTATCAAAGCCTCCTAAAAGCAAGACAAGCTGGTGAAGATTTTTACTGGTCTCACACACAGGCACCAGCAGCTGAGCTCACTTGCCCATAGTCCTGTCAATCACAGGCCCCACCCTATTCTGGTGTTTCCTCTAGCACATGTGCACAGCCAGTGATGAGGCATGATGACTCTTGTGTAATATGAAGGCGTTTTTGAGTCAGTAGTATCATACTCATGTTACACAAGAGTCATTTTAAGCTAACAGTGTTTTTTATAGATAATAGTGTCAGAAACCACATTATCTCAAATAGAGCTTAATAACTATAATGCAGTTTTCTTTATATAGTCACTGTCAGGACAAAACCTTTTATCTCTTTTTTTTTTTATCATTTTTCATCATGACATAAATTGAAAATGCCAGCTGCCTGTTACACTGTGTAAAAAAATAAACAGACCAATAGAAATGCTTTGAATTTGCTTGTACTAAAAGGTTTTATCATAATTTACTTTAAACATTAAGGATTTTTTCACCTTCTTTAGTCAAATCATGATATAGGAGCTCCTATCCATTGGTCAGACAATGACAGTTGTATGCAAAAGTTTGTGCACCCCTGGTCAAATTACATTTTGTCAAATTACATGTTGTAAGTGAAAATAAATTAACACTTACTGTTTATTTGCTACATGTAACATATTGCTGGAAAAAACATTAAACATAAAATCATAAAAACGTAAAACAGCCTATGCAAAAGTCATGGCACATTTTTATACATTTGTTTATATGTTATATGTTAATATGTTCTGTCTAATCTGTGTTAAACTGTCCTTGTAAAAGACGTGTCTAATTACAAGACTTTTGGAAAAATACAGTATGTTCTTTTAATGATGGGAGGACGCTCCTTTTCTGTGTCAGACAGGACAAACTGTGATCGCGGAAAAAAAAAAAACCCTAATAATGCTGAGTTAGCCCAACCAACGCACAGCTTTAACAGACAAGGCGCGAGAGAGAAAGGGGGATTTTGAAAAGCCAAGGCAACCACATACATACCACAGCAAGAATGGCTGGGTGTTTGTGGAGTAATCTAGACTTGGGTGGGTCTTTCTCTAACTAAGCAGATGGGACCACCACCAGACACATACCCACATTTATACACACAGACAGATGATACACCCACACATACTTCATCTGGACTGCCCAACCCTGCTCCCTGAAATTTTTCCTTCAGCAGAATGTGGGTCCAGCTCTCATCAGAACAGCACTCTCTAATATTTAAAATGCCTAATATTTTAAATCCATTTAAAACAAAATATGCCAGTTTGTAAAACTGCCTTTTAAAATTTACTTGAACCCTTCTACATAACACTGACATAACCATACTGTGGATAACAGCTCACATCTGCCATGACACCATGGCCTGGTAATGTCAGTGTTATGTAGCAGTGTTCAAGTAAAGTTGACTTATTTGTTTTAACATAGATTAGAAGTAGCTGTAGGAGCATGGGTTCATTAGCTTTATTAATACAAACTAAAATTTCATAAGATGCTGTGATATGTTTGAAAAATATTACATTTTGTACCATCCAGGGGTTTCAACTAAACTAAGGATGCACTGATAGGGAATTGTGGGTCGATGTCAATATCCAATCCAATATTTAATGTATTTATCTACCCATGCTGATGTGTAAACGTTAAAAATAAAGTACAAATTGGGACTGCATCTATAGATTAGCATTACAGAGCAATATAATGTTCATTTCTTTAGGTTTATAAATTCAGTAAAATAAATGAAATTAATAAAACATCAATATTTTAGCACAGTAGTCCAGCGTTGCCTAAATCTTCAGTTCTTCCGGTGTACAATAAATGTCATCAAATATTTGTTTGAAATTTCAGTCTAAGCACCTCTCTGATGCTGATAGAGATGAAATTATTGACTGAAACCAATTTAATTCCTCATATCATGGTGCATCCCTAAACTGAACTCCAGAGAAGTCTCTCCGGGTGTGCATTCAGTGCTACTGGATTAGTGTCCTGTTTTCTAATCCATTTTTCGTTGTTCTGGATCAGAAAACAGAAATGTATCAATGTTTAACATCTCTGCCTGTGAATATGTGAATATTTCGTTTTGATTTGAGTTCTGTGTATGTTTTCTGTAGAAGTGCATGGGTGCATTTATACAGTTGTCTCTATTCAGCCTCTCAGCGGAGTCACATGAGCTCATAACCATGGCTATGTCTCCCATTGCTTCAGCTCTCCTGGGGGGTGATTAGGATGTGATGGCTACACACACACACACACACACACACACACACACACACACACATACACACACACACACACACACACACACACACTCATACACTTGTACACACACAGAGGGCTGTGTTGTCACTCAGGGAGTGCTAAATGCCATCTGCTGTTTGAGACGGCTCTGCTGCACTGTCTCGGCCGCTGGAAAAGCTGCCTTGTTATTTGCGCTCTCTCTCTTCTTCAGTGTCTATTTCCCATTCCCTTTTCTCTCTCATCCCTTTTTCTGTCATCTCTCATCCCATCTTACGCACTCATTCCGCTGACAATCTGTTTTTCTTCCTACTCGTTTCCTCCCTCATCTTCTTCCATCCTCCGTCTCCCTTTCTCTTTCTCTCTGCTGATGCTTCTTTGAGAATGTTCCAAGTATGTATTTCTGTAATAAAGACTCTGGGGCTGAGATGTTTCATCAGTCACATCAGCTTGGCAGTGGCTCTGTCCATTTGTCTGACTATACTCTCAGCATGTGTGTCCCATAGGGATTGAACGGTTGCTTTTTCAAAATTCATAACAGTATAAAACCCCATGATGAGGAATGAACCAATATGAAAATTGTGGGCTTATACTGATATCGAGTATCGTATATCGTGTAATGTATGGTGCTGTCCAAAAGTCTAGAGACCGTTCTTCATTTATTTAGTGTCCAGTCACAATAGCTCATTGAGTACAAGTTACTCATTTTTTAGAAGATATTTCTGAGGAGATTATATATATATGTATATGATAATGCACTTGCATAAGCAAAGTGGAAGTCAAATAAGGAAAGGAAAATAAGTGTGAATAAGTGAAGAGTTTTCAATACCGGAGTTAAAAAATAAAAGTGCTCATCTTTGAGAGAGAGAGGAGGAAAATCAAGCTCCACTCTTGCTTCAGACCTAAAAAAATCCACAGGAGTTCATGTCCATCCTTCTACTGTGAGAAGACAATGCAACGCTAAGGATGTGTAGTTGTCAAGAAGCTGTAACTAAAAAAAAGAAATGCACAAAAAAAGAAAATTTGCACTAAAATACCAAAACTGGACATCTGAGATGTAAAGTAAGATTTTATGGACTGATGAGTTAAAAATGTATTATTGGAATTACTTGGATTGTAAGAAGCAGAAAATGCAACAAACTTCTAAGACTGAACTTAAAATATCCTTACAGTTTTCTGTGAGAAACTGAAAGCAAGTCTCCTGAAAAAAAGTGGAAACTGTAATATAGACAAAGGGTGAACACACTAAACACTGAAATAAAGATATTATATTTGATTGTTGCGGCGTCTGTGACATCTTCTTTAATTGTGTTTTGTGGGTAAATAACTTGTACTTATGGGTCCTTTTGACGAAAAATTAAATAAATGAAGGGTCATGACTTGGCATGACCACATAATCCCAAATTCCATTCTATGAATGAAAGTGGCTCAAATCTGACTTGAAAAGATCAGATTTGTTTGTCCACACAGTTCGGAAAAAAATCAGGCCTGTGTCACATTAAGGTAAAAAAAATTCTGCCACTTCAGCCTTTTAATGTCAGTGTAGCCAAATGGCTAACAGTATAGCACCTGTGGAGAAGTCATTTCAGTGTATATTTCAATAACTTGTTTTAATACACCAATAATACCAGAACCCCACCCTTACTGTTTTTGTGCATGTGTTGCCGTAGTTTTGTCATGCTGCACACTCTGAGACTTGTGTTGTGTTGATCTGTGCTGAATGCAGCACTCTATGCTAGCACAGCAAAGGCAACATTAATGCAGTCCTTTCGGGAGATTGTTTTGTGTATGTGTGTGTTGAAGTACTCAGTACTAATCCTGTGTATGTTTTGCAGGTTGATGAGTTGTACGAGGGTTTCTGTATTCAGAGGAGGCTGAGAGAGGGGGCCAGTAAGATGAAGCAAGCCTTCACTGCCTCACCGTCAACTAAAGGCACACGAGACAGCCTGGCCGAGGTCAACCGCCGCTACAAAGAATATACAGAGGTAAATTCTCTCTCTCTCTCTCTCTCTCTCTCATTCTCTCACTCTCACTCTCACTCTCTCACTGTCTCTTACAAGCAATATACTTTAGCAGCTGGGTGCTATAGGCTACAGCAGTAGCTTATCTGTCTTTTTTTTCTCTCTTTTTCTTAGAACATGAGCACTTTTGAAGGGGAGCTGGAGAACCTCCTGGGAGAATTCCATATCAAAATGAAAGGTAAAAGTGCTTTATTGTGCATTGAATGAAAAATTGACAGAATTTCAGTAATTAAAGAATTGTTTATTACAGCCATGTTCTCCTCCCTCAGGTTTGGCTGGCTTTGCAAGGCTTTGTCCAGGCGATCAGTACGAAGTAAGTTACATAAACTGCTGATAGTGTTATATGCTAAAAAACTTCAATGCTGATGGGCTTTCATGCAGCAATTTATGTAATTCTAGCAAGTAAATGCATTTCCCACCTCCCCAATTACAAAATCCTCATAGTAAATGCCTGGGAATCTGCTAAGTACATCAAGTACATCCATAATGACTGTTCCCTTAGCAACACTCTCTGCTCTAATCCAGCAGCACAGCTCTGCTCCAGCTCAGAGAAACAGGTTTTATAAGCCTATATAAAACCCAGACCACTCTTCTGTGCTTGTGCTAAATGGTTTTTCTCCTTAATTGCTAAGGAGCATTGATTGAGCCTGCCTCTGCTTTCTTAACCTCAACATCTTTCTCTCGTCATCTTTTATTTTAATCTGTTTCCTCTCCCTCCCTCCTCTCAGATTTTTATGCGGTACGGACGGCAGCGGTGGAAGCTGAAAGGGAAGATTGAGGCAAACTCCAGGCAGAGCTGGGATGGAGAGGAGATGATCTTTGTGCCTCTTATCACAGATCTGATCTCCATTAAGGTGCTACATTTACTTCTCGACACGTTACCAATGAAGCATCAGCAATACCCTGACTAGAAAAGAGAAAGTAAACAATTGCTTATTGCTACTTTTACTTTAAAAAGAATCACCAGCCTTTTTACATTCGAAGTTGTGTACGATTTTAAATGTAGTAGTTGGGGTTTAGCCTTCCATCCATGAAAAAATGGGCTTCAAGATGGGTGCAAGGGCTTTTTATATGGTCATGTAACAGTATGTCATACAGTTTTAGAAACCACATAAGGAAATCTGTTTAAGATTACCTAACAGCTCAGTGTGTTGCACTGCGCAAATTGTCGTTAGTGTATCTCATAACTCTAGTTCAAAACTAAAGAAGCAAACTGTGTATGACTAACAAATTAACCAACATGCCTAGTGTGGCTAATCAAGATTTTTAATTTTTAAAGTTTAATTAACATGCCTGAACGTGATCCCTGACTTTGACACCAACCTTCACTGACCTTATCCCAAAGGTGACAGAGCTGAAGGGGCTTGCCACTCATGTCCTGGTGGGCAGTGTTATCTGTGAGACGAAGGACCTGTTTACTGCCATGCCTCAGGTGGTGGCTGTGGATGTTAATGACCTGGGCACCATCAAGCTGAACCTGGAGGTCACCTGGTTGTAAGTAGCACTGTTTCATGTTTTGTAAGACTTTGAAAGTGAGGCTTCAGTTCTTGCAGATACCTTTAAAATAAAATGAAGTGTACTGCCCCCTGCTGGGCAGAATGATCATTTGTAAATGTACTCAAAAAACAGAAGTCTTTCTGTCACTGTGTAACACAAATATGTCCAGAGTTTGCTTCTTTGCACTGGGGGTACAAGACTATGAGCCAGTAACGGAAGCTAATGTTTACCAGTTAGAATCATGCAAAATGCATAATTAAAGTGTCACACACTTACCTCAAACTACATTGAGTTGTTAAGTAATCTTAAATAGATTTTCTTATGTGGTTTCTAACACAATAGTATGTCACATAGCTAAAAAACAGTGGTAGCAGTGGTATTTAAGTCAGATTTTTTCTCTACCTTTTTATAACTGTCTGTTTTTCCCCTCTAGTCCATTTGATGTGGAGGACCTGACCCTGTCCTCTGGTAATGTGAGCAAAGCCACAGCCCTGCAGAGACGAGTGTCTGTGTACAGTCAGGGCACGCCTGAGACTCCCACCTTCCAGGACACATCCTTCTTTGTGAGTCTTTATTTGTTTACACAGAATTTAGTCTGACTAAGTGTATGTATTCTGTCTGCTTCTAGATGCATTATTATTCTACCTTGGTTAGAATGTGTATTTTTTTCAGCTGTGCTGCTGATACATATTAAAAAATTGGAAGTGGATTATATCAGCAGTGCAAATACACCACTGAGTCAAAACATTATTACCACTCTCTCAAATGAAGCAAATAACGTTGATTATCTTGTTACAACGGTGCATGTTGAGGTCTAGGATATATTAGACGGTAAGTGAACTGTCAGTTCTCATAGTCGACGTGTTGGAAGTGGGAGAAATGAGGAGGCGTGAGGATCTGAGTGGCTTAGATAAGAGCCAAATCAGTATGGCCAGATGACTGGATCGGAACATCTCCGAAATGACAAGGCTTGTTGGGTGCTTCCGGTCAGCAGTGGTGAGTATCCACTGACAGCGGTCTGTGGAGGGACAAACCGTGAACCGGAGACATGGTGTTGGGCATCCAAAGCTCATCGATGCTCAAGGGCAGTGAAGGCTATCCGGTCTGGTCCGAACTGACAGAAGGCCGACTGTAACAAGTTTTTTTTTTTAATGTGCCACAACACGCAGTGCATCACACCCTGCTGTGTATGGGGCTGTGAAGCTGCAGACCAGACAGAGCACCTATGCTAACTCCTGTCCACAGTCGAAAGTGATGGGCACGCAAGCATCAGAACTGGATCTTGGAGCAGTGGAAGAAAGCAGCCCGGTCCGATGAGTCCAGTTTTCTTGGTGCCAGATACCACAGGGTGCCTTCAGAGGTGTTGTCGAGTCCGTGACTCAGCAGCTTTGTTTTGGCACCATGCGGAGGAACAACAGCATGTTAGATCATAATGTTTTGGCTCATCGTTGTATATTATTGGAGTCTGGTGTTGCTGGACTCCATTGAATTAAACCCTGAAACCTCATTTCCCCATCACCCCAAGCCTGATATACCCTTGATGTCTTATCCACCCTGATGCTACCTGTTTTTACCATGCTGCCTGCTGCACGTATATGTGTGTGAATGTGTACTTTGTAACCAGTCCCTGTTGCTCTGCCTTATTACCACAAGTTAACTACTTTGCCCTGGTCCTTTGTGTCAACATCCCTTCCCCCACTGTGTATTTATGTCCACTGCTGGTGCACAGACATGGCAGCCTCAGCTTCGGCAGGGCCACCGCCTCTCTTTCCTGCACACACTCAGGGACACTCTTTTAGAGAAGCTCAGGCGCAGTCGCTCGTTTGGCGACCTGGCTGTGCTGCGGCCACGCCCCAGGTCCAGTCTGGAAGTCTATGTGAGTCAGGTTGTGTGCCTCGCTACTTTAGATGTGTCTGTGTGTGCGAGTGTGCTGGTGTTCTTGCTTGCCTTCAAAATCTGCAGTATCAGCTCCCACTTCCCTTTTCCATGTTTGCAGTCTTTGTTTTATTTGCAATTGCACCTGTTTATCAGCCATGTTGCTCCCCTTATCCTATCCTGTTGTTTCACCCTCTCTTCTATCTTTTGTTGCATACAGAATTTCATCATTTAGATGTCAGGTGATGACAGGAGATGTGATTAGCATAAAGTATCATTGTTGTCATAAGGAAATCTCACAACTTCATTTTTGTTTTATTCCATTTTTGTTTTACTCTGTTTGAAAAAGCCAGCTGTCCTTTATTATATTTCAAGTGTGAAGGAACCATTGTATGGAGGAGACACCCCCCCCCCAACCTTTCAAAAATATGTATAAAACATAATTAATAAATGTTTTTGCCTGTTTACGAAGTTTCAAAGAAAATGTTGAAGTACTGTAGCTGTGTTTAATGTGTCCAAATCAGGTATGATAAAATAAAAATGATCTGTGATTAAAATTGTCCTTTGGGTAAGAAATGAAAATGCTTCCCTGCTGAACAGAAATTGCTGCCCCATAACAAACCATGCCAAAACGCTGCAGAGAGAGCAACATGAAAAGCGGGGCTGCATCTGCTTCAGTAGGCACCAAGCCTATTTTTATCACAGTGAAATAACAAATGAACAACAAATAAAAATGTAAAACAAAATATGAAAACCAGTGAAAATGAAACAATCAAAAAAAAAAGTCAAAATTCACTGAGGCTAAGCAAATATAACATGCTGTTTTGCAAATGATCTTTTTATTAAGCAAAAGAAAGTAACTGTTTTAGCTGTTTATGGATGGATGAATGTCTGTAGGAGTTATAAGCCTGCTCTAGTGAAAGTGCTGGAAGTTTGCCAACACAAGCGTACTATATTGATCATGTCGTACAGAGGTTGTATTTATTTAAGCTTTCACCTTATTTGCCATGTAAAAAAAAAACAAAAAAAAACTGTTTCTGTTATTACATTGCTAATGTCATTACAGCACATCATAAAGCGCATGCACATGGCACACTGTTCATTTTTAATTTATCTCCAGATACACATTATTACATTATTATTATATATTTTTTACAAAGTGGCCGCTTCACTCATACAGCTTTGCATTGTTTGAATATTTTGTGACAAAATAACTACTAGAAATCGTCCAAAGCTACTTTATAGGTTGTTTTAACATTTGCATATGTTGACATCATAGTCTTGCTCTATAAAGCTACTATGTCAGAGATGAGAGATTTCCTTATGCCAGTAATAATTTATTGAAATTGACTGATAATTGATCAATTATTTTATGATTTATTCCTCGTCTTTCTACTTTGTTCACTCTGTTCCTCTGCTCTTCATTGCAGTCAGCACTGCCTGATGATGTTTTTGAGAACGGTGGTTGTGGAGTGGCTGAGTGCAAGCGTCTCTCCTTCACCTTCTCCGACACTTCCACCTCCAGCCCTGCCCCTGGCCAGTCAAACCCTGAGATCACAGTGACACCCCCTGAGGTGGACCCTCAGCTGCCCCCTACAGCAGATCAGGCTGTGGAGGAAGATGGAGGTGAAGAAGAGGAGGAAAGCGGCAGTGTGAGTCTAGCCAGTGCCAGTGAGGCAGACTCTGAGCGAGACTGGGAGGGCCAGGGGCCTGTCTATGGCTCCACAGCCCCCTCTCTGTCCTCTGAGGGCCAGCTTTCTGCTGTGGGGCCCGAGGATGTGGTTTTCCTGGAGCCTGGAGGACCTGATGAGGCCTCAGAGCTAAAACCGGTGGAACTGGACGGAGAGGAGGGCAGTCTGACGAAACAGCTAGTTAGGAGGCTGACCTCATCTGAAATCCTGCCTGAGGCTGGAGCCCTGAGCTGGGCTGGAGAGGGCAGCAGGGCCTTCCTGGAGAGCAGCCTGGAGGAGGCCATCCAGAGTCTGCTGCTGAGGTTGGAGAGCCTGAGTCAGCGCTGCAGGGAGCTCCAGGACCTCGAGCAGGAAGTGATGAAACTGGAGGACCTGCTTAAGGTGAGGCTTCCACAGCAGTTTCAAGCCTTCTATTGCTTTTACACAACAGTTTTGCAAAGTAAAGAAACAAGTAAAGCAAAGAGGCCTCAAACATTTGATTCAAATATATGTTATCATAAGATAATAATTCACAAAATTAATAATTTGGATTGATCTGATACAGTCGTGTCTTGAATCAGTTCAATTTTTGATACAGCAGAAAGGAGTGCCTGACATTCTGCGTTAATACGTTAATTTTCCCATTTTCAATTTACTAGAGCATTTAGCATTATAGAAATACAATGTTTTCTCATAATGCGCAAGCCACAAGCTGATGTGTTAGACATAAGCTTATATGTGCTTACTGGAGTGTGCCTTTTCTCCCTGCTCTCAATTTTTGAAGTAAATGGGAGGCAACATTTTCAGAAAAAGGATAGTCTGCCCTCATTATACTTAATGCAGTATAATCAGTGTTCATTTGGGTCAGTATTCACAGACTGTATTTGCTGCAGTCTGCTTAATATATTGTTTGAAACCTGTATGTATGTAATTGACAGACTTGTATGGAACTGTATAGTACAAAGCGTTGTATTGTTACACTGAAAATTGGCCATTTTTACTGCCAAAAAGTTGTAATTTGAAGTAAAGGAAACATTGTTACTTAGAATGAAACAGGCATAGTAGAAAAAAAGCTGTTCTTGGATGTATCAACATAGATAAAAGGTTTTCAACCAGATTATGTGGTTTGAACTGTTGTATAAATCAGGGATAATGTGTATTAGTCAACCCAGAAGTAAATGTGGCAGTGTGTGCCAGTGTTGGCTAATTTTTTTAAACATAGTTCCTGAGACCTGATGATGAGGCCACATCATTTAATGTACCGGACAACTAACATTATAGCAAGCATAAAAGGTTCATCAGGATTATCCCTATAAGATAAACGTTTGAGGAGTCCAAGGTTTATTAGCCGAAGAGATGAGTACTAATGAGAGCCATTTTAATTAGTAGTGAGTGCATTTTCTTGTAATTAGCTGGTGTTGTCTGGAATAGTTTTTTTAGCTTGTGGTGCTGCTCCTGTGAGCCGCTAGTGTACACCTTGCAAGGTTTCTATTGAGCTGTGCTGGCAGGCTTTAAATGCTTTTGTGTCTCCTCAGTGTCGGGGGCCTGCTCACAGGAGCCGCTCGTCCAGTCTCAGCCTGACCGTGGAGAGTGCCCTGGAGAGCTTTGACTTCCTCAACACCTCTGATTTTGATGATGACGACACTGGGGACGATCCTGCTGCAGTCCCGCGTTCTGTGTTCTTTGACATGGAGACAGAGAGGATCGGGTAAGCCCTCTGCTGAACAGCTGAGATTGCAGAAAACCTTTCTATCACTTTTCAATTTGACACCTGCCTCTAATTAACACCTGCCTTCCCACAAAAACAGTAGAGACAAAACTGGTTCATCAGAATATTGATGTTGTCTTTATTATCTTTCATATTGGTTCTTCAGTGTAATATTGCAGCAATATGAGGAGGGTGGGTCTTATTGTGTTGGAGTTTGTTTAACAGAGTGGCTACAGGTGACTGAAATGAAAAGCCTGCTGTAACTCTTCTCCAGCCTACCACAGTTATGGATCTCTGTGTTGGTGCTGTGAAAGTGTTTGCCTGGGGGCTATGGACTGCGAAAGCATTTAACTATAAAAAAAATGTTATCTGAACTATGTGTCTTCAGCCTTATAAAGTGCCTCTACCTCGTGACTTATCCTGCCTTTTGAATGCATTTAATTTTTAGTTTTTAATACAAAAGAGCCTATTAAACATTTACCAGCGTTATTTTGAAAACTATGAAAATATTTGTGGTAATCATGACATATTTGTGACAGTATATGTGGCAGTACAGTTTTTGGAATAATGCCACACCCCACACATTGTATCCTATTGTTGTGATATCTGCACTAGGCCTGGGTGTTGTTAGAACCTTTTCAGACACCGATACGAATAATGATAGTTTGACTTTGAAACATATTTCTTAGTGATACTTTTTTTTTCAATACCCTGTTTTAAATAACAAACCAAAAGTGGATGGGTTTCAAACCTAGAATGACTGTAAGCTACTTGAATTGGGTCATTTAAGCAGCCAGTCAGTAGTCTAGATTTTGGAATAATCATGCGTGTTGGCTCACAAAAATTTCACCTAAGCTAGTTTGTATTTGAATGACACAAAATACTGTTTAGTATTGAAATAATTTATCTGGTAAAGTGTTGAATTTCAATACCCAGCCCTAGTCATCACTCAACAGCACTTTTTTAAGCACCTTTCAGGTGTTTAAATCACCTTTGGGCCAAAAAATTGGAAAGTAACAGTGAGAAAACTTAGGTTTTTAAAAATGTTTCTATATTTTTTGTATTCACAGATAGGTTTAGTATCCTTTACTCAGGTGCTTCTAACGCTACACTTAGAAACACTGCTTAATCAACTCCTAAAGAAGTGAACTGTAGAACTGTGTATTTTATTCTAATATATTACAGTACAGACACTGAACAGTTCCATAGCATAATGTATGCCTGCTTTCCTGTGTAACTACTCTGTGTGTTATAGACCATGCTGTACTGCCCTCTTGTGGTGAGAATATATGTCATGTGTGTTTAACAGGTCAGGACAGCACCCAGAGGCCCGAGGTCACCTGAGTGAAGCCCTGACAGAGGACACAGGAGTGGGTAACAGTGTGGCTGGCAGCCCTCTGCCACTGACCACAGGCAACGAGAACCTGGATGTGGCCATCGTTATTCACCTCCAATACTGCAACCACCTCATTCAGGTGCTTGCAGTCACACATAAACTTATCTGGACCAATCCACAGAGTTCTACTATCATCACAGCTTTAACATGCTTCAGTTCCTATTTGTATTTTTCATGCCCTCATACTCTACAACTTTTCTCTTTGACTAGTAACCAAAGTAAACACTGCATGTCTATAGTCACAACACTGTTATTGGGCTTTGTATACATGTTAAGCACAAATGTTTCATGTTCGTTGACATAAAACACTGATGTTTCTTGTATGTGTGGTTGTAGCTGTTGACCTCAGGAGGAAACCCATGGCAGCACAGGACTCACCTGCGCAAGCTCTCGACCCAAACTCTCTTGCTGGAGGAGCTGACTGAGAACAGCATAGAGCGACTGGGCAGCATCAACTCCGCAGTGGATGGTAAGTGTGTGGTACATTCTGTGGTAGATCTCGGGTGGTGGTACAGTGGCATGCCCTCGAAGGGGACCTGAAATGGCACAAGCCCCCAAAGAAATTTAATTTAGCCACCAAGGGCGCCCCCACACCGAAGCTGGTAGTTGAATGATTCTTAGGTTGTCAATCCTGGATAGAACACACACACTGCAGCCATACGAATCATAGTCCTGAGAGAAAGTTTGAACACCCCATGTCAAATTACATGTTTTGTTGATTTTCTAAGTGAAAAGAAGCTAACACGTCCTCTACAGAAAACAAACTTAAACATGGGATTTTTACAACGTTTAGTGCACAATTTACTGAGTTTAACCCTTTAGGAAAAAAAAAAAAACATTAAATATAAAATGTACTAGAATTTTTGCACAGGCCACATTTTAGGTTGTATTTATTTGTGTTTATCTGTGTTTACTATAAATACTATAAACATTTTCCTATTTTCCTTAAATGCAGAAAGCTCTTTTAATCACAGAATCGTATTGCAAACCCAACTGTATCATTACATGGTTGTAAAAAGTGTGTGTGTGTGTACTCAGTGCTACCTGGACTGGTGGAGCGGCCAGCGCTATTGGCTCTGTGGTCTGAGTGCACTGGATCTGGAGGCCTTTTCCACACCACACTGGACCGTGTGCTCAAACACATGCACCACAGTTTCACTGTGCCACTGCAGGAGACTCACCCACACAGTGCAGACTCAGGTACACGCCATCACAGCACACATTCGACTATACACTAGGACCAGTTGTTCTTTTGCTTCTTGTGTGCTTACTATTGCACCTAGCTGTGTAGTGGTCATAATGGTCAGAAAAACTCATAATAACTCATAAACAGTAGGACAGATTTAGGTTGCTCTGGGTTGGCGATAAGTATTATTCACTAATTCACTTACACGGGTCATTAATGTAACTTCTGTTCTGTGTGTGTGTGTGTTTGTGTGCAGTGATCAGGCTGGTGGTGAGTGAGATGGTGGACAGGAGTGACCTGGCCTCCTCCACATGCCCCTCCCTTTCCTCTCTGGCCCAGGACGTGCTGACAGTGTTTCAATTCCACAGCTACGCCACCCAGCACAACGTCACCGACATGGAGCAACACCTGCTGGAGGTGGCCAGAGAGGGTAAGACACACACACACACACACACACACACACACACACACACACACACACACACACACAAACACACACACACATATCATCGTACAATCATATTAAGCCTTGAAAGAGTTATCATTGTTGATGCACTACACATCTTTACATTAAATAATTACACTACTATTTAGAATTAAAATATTAAATAAAAAAACATACAAATGTTTTAAAATTCCAGATTTTGTTTGTTTTATTGATTAAATAAATTAAAGCTGCAGTATGTAAGATTTCGAGATGTGGAGTTGTCTTTGGTGGAAATACATATTTTAGCATGTTCTGTTGTCTTTTTGACTCAGCTACTTTTTTTAGTTCTAACAAAAAAAATTTCATAGTGCTACTTTAAACAAGTTAAGTCATTCTCTACAGGAACACACCTAAATATGGCAATTTTCTGCTCATTTTAGTACACAGTTTTATTTATTTGCTGAGTTTAACATAATGGAAAAATATATATAAATATTCCATAACTTCTGCCCAGACCACATTGTATGTGTTCTTTTTTCCAATATTCTAATGTTAAATTTAGCAAATAAACAGTAAATGTGCATTAAAATGTGCAGAAGCATGTTCATTATAGAGGCTGTGTTAACTTATTCTTACATAGAAAATCAACAAAATGTAATTTGACCAGGGTTGCACAAACTTTTGCATATTATTGAGTAATAATTAGTATATGACAAATAATTACATGCTCTTGAACAGTGGTGAATTAAATATAATTACATTAAAATTTCATAGTTAACTGCATGATAAATTGTATTTCACTGCAACACTTGAGTCAAGTGTTGATATGTAAATATAAATAATGATGTTTTTTTCCTGAATAATGATGTTTTTTCTGGTTGTATAAGTGTCAGTGACAAAAATTGCCAATAATAACAAATTATTTACCAACTAATATTCACAATAACTTGTTTAAATTTAAAGCATTATAATATCTCCTTTTCTACTTACGCAAATATGGCATGGAATGTAAGTTAGAATCTGCACTTTCGACAGAACTTTTACACTTGTTTCAATAAGCTTCGAGTAAATAAAAATGAACATCATATTACAGAATGCTTTTTATCACTGCCATAACTATGACTGTGACTAAGGATGATTTCAGACTTGGCAGGTTCAGTTCTATTAAAACGAACCCTGAACGGCATGATTCAGAAAGTTCGGTTTCACAGTTATTGGTTGTCATAAAATCCGCCGAATCAGTTGCGGTGTTTGACTCATATGACGTTTGTTTACATCTTTTTGTTCAAATGTTAAATATGTCAGTGTAAAATGTTAAATATGTTAGTGTGCAACAATTCATCATTTTCTGTTTTGGTCATCAAGAGAGCCAAACTACATGTATAAATGCACCCCAAGAGTAAAGACAGATGCCAGTATTTTTAACATGTTTTGAACTTTGTATAAACTTTGTCTTTACATAAAGTGCACAGTACGAGGCTGAATGATGTGTGTTGTGTTGTGTGCAGCTATGTTTGCGGAGCGTCTGAGCTGTGGTGATGCAGAACGCTCTCTGAGGGAGCTGCAGGAGACGTCAGTCTCCTTCCTCCAGCCCCGCCCTCATACCCTGCGTGCCCTAGCCAGTCTCCTGACCTCTGATGACCCTGACCTCAGCAAGGCGGCCACTGCCTTCCTCTCTAATGCTGCCTCACATCCACCTTTCAGGTCAAAGGTGAGTGTTATGGACCATCACAGTGTTGTTGACCATCAGTCTGACTCTCTTGAGTTACTGATTTAATCAGCTGGTTTATCTTGTGTTTGTTCTTTGATCATCACTCTCATTCCTCACAAGCTGCCTTTGAGCATCAGATATGTGTGTAGTCCTTAAAGAACATGTATGGGACTAAGGGTTTCATTGTGTGTATGTGTGTGTGGGCAGGCAGTGGATTACTTCACTCAAGCCTTATCAGAAGCAGGGCTGCACACTCAGAGAGCTGCTTGCATTGCCCTAAGCTGCCTGCAGGTCAGTATGACGGACACACTGATGTAATCACAGTGGTTAGTAGGCTTTTCAGTTGCAATAATGTGATTATGTTGAAGATTGTACGGTATTTCAGGGCTTCTGTCTCTCTGTCTCAGGCTGTGGAGAGCATTAATGCAGTCGTGTCACTGTGTGACTCAGCCGATGAAGAGCTCCGCCATGTTGCCATAGAAACACTCCTCACATTTGGTAAGTTAATGACTAACAGTGTCTGCTTGTTTGGTGATGATGGAGAAAGTGAATTACACATCATCGCTGTCTCCATACGATAACTTTATAGAAGAGAAATCATTCTTAGTTTTAACTTACATTGAAGTAACAAGATTTTATTACAAGCTGGGGTCAACATTGACTATGTCTTGGTGCTTCTAGCCACAACATTTCACACCACCAAAAAATGCAGAACTTGTGATCCAAGTGTTTGTTTGTTTTTGCAATTTTTCGCTGTTAATATACCACTAAACCAACTGAATTGTCACATATTCATAAACACCACCATTAATAACAATAAAGCTGCTTTTCTCCCTATCGCACATGTTTGAGTCTGTTTGATCAGACATGGAACTTAATTGTATTGTAATGTTAAGGTTACCGTTGCTATAGCTAACATAATGACAAGTGACAACTTCTTTCTATAACACTGGGCATTTCTTTGTAGCCTGCCTGTTAATAAAATATGGCAGTGCTGACAATAAAAAAGTGCACACAAAGTAAAAGGACAGCTGGTGTTTCAGATGGAATTGAGGGGCTTTCATAAGACAACAATGTTACGAAAACCCTAGAACTGGGATGCTAAAATCTAGTCAGAGGACTTTAGTCTAGAGAAGTCTGATTCCTTTGCTGAAATAGATGTGATTCAACTCACCAGTTACCAAGTTTAATAGGTGGACTGTGTCCTTCTGGAACTGGACATCCCTGTCATAGAGCGTAAAGAAATAACACTGTCAGCTCATATCTGAAAAGAATGTATGGTAACACTTCACTTGAACCCTGCTGTGCAACATTGACATAACTATGCCATAAACGTGTCATATGCAGTCATGTATTGTCATGTTAGATTTTGTGCAGTGTCGTGTTACTGTCACTGGTAATTGTTGATATGACACAGCGTGTTCATGTGGAATGTGTATACAGTAAGCCCTACAGATAACTGAATCTTTTTGTGTTTTTTTAAATTACATCTCATGTTAACACTTGGCTCATCAGAGAGTGTATGTGTGCGCAGGTGAAGAAGGTCGACTGGCGTATGAGCAGTTGGACACAGTGCCGAGGGAGATGGTGCGTCTGGGAACGCGCCGCGGCAACGCCGTCACCACTGCCTTCTGAGGGAAGCTGGATAAGGCAGGGTGAAAGCCCCAGCATTACTGTCTCTGTGGCGCTCTCCAGCCCAGACGTTTATCCTCTTAGGCTGAGAGTTTGCAGACACTGAGGACACGTGAGTTCCTCACAAGGCCGCCCAAGCAGGGTTCCTCACTAGGAGACTTCTGAAGCCATTTCTCTCTGGACGGATCAGTTACAGCAGTACTTTTATCACTTTCATTAGATTGATGATGATCATTCATGTTATTGATCTTACAGTAATAACGTTCTTTATTACTACCGTTTAATTATTTGTTGGTATTAGTTATATGATGATATTCCTGAATTTGCACTTATCAGATGCGTGTAAATAGAGCACATGATTATCGATTATCGTATTGTGTGGCATATCCTACCTGAACTACCTGAGAGCTATGTTGCTTGTTTTCCCAACACTCAACTCCCCCCAGTATGTGCCGTTCAGTTTCAGGGATTCTGAGGGACACGTTTGATTTAACCCTCCTGGTTACTGAGTGTATGTGTGTATGTGTGATATGATGTAAGTAAGCTCTAACTGTTGATCACTGGACAGACGTAAGCTTGTCTCCACACCACTCCATTCTGGATGCTTTGTGAAGAGACAACAAGCAAAGGACTTGACAGCCAGCCTGCTTGCCTTTAGCCTTTCAAAGGTCAATATTGTGTGGAACAGTGAGTAGTGGAAGCACGGTGGCCTGCTACAACCGCCTGTGGATGCAAGTTGTTTAGATGTTACTCCAGAGATTATATATTGCATTAATAAGGTAGTAATCACAAGTGGACAGAGTACAGTACTTCTGTACTTGAGTAAAAGTAGAGGCACTCTTTGTAAAATATTACTACAGTAGAAGTACAGATGTTCTAGCTGTAATTCTACCTGAGTAAAAAGACTTGCTTGTTAGTGTACTTCAGTATCAAAAGTTAAAGTACTTTGAGTTATTATAAATATTATTTTGATGATGAGGTTTAGTTGGGGAGACCTGTGTGGCTGCAGACATGAACATGTTTTTAACAGAACGTAGAATAGAACCCAAAATATTATTAAACAAGGTCTATAAAAACTCAAATTACTTTTATTTTTAATACTTAAGAACATTTATAAGCTAAAACATTTGTACTTTTACTCATACTTTTAGGATTTTACCAAGAGGACATCTACTAATACTCAAGTACAGAATTATTGTACTTTGTCCACTCCCGGTAGCAGGGCAGCAGTGAGTGGGGACAGGGTGAAGAACGGACTGGGACCTTGCTAAGGCTGTTCACTAGTGTGGGTGTGAAAGAGAGCTTGAGTGTATGTGTGTTAAAATGCACTTTTTGGTATATTAAGAGAAGTGTTAATGGATTTACTGTGAATTTGGTGTTTAACTTCAATGAAGACTGGAAGTACAGTGCTCTGTGATCCAACTAGCTTCTGTGCCTATTGTAACTGTACTACTGAGTCACATTATTTACTGTGACAACTGATTTTCACAACTTAATTTATTTTTTACATGTTGCTTGTCATGTCTTTTTCTTTTAAATCTCAAAAATGGATTGTATCTGCAATATACTAAGCAAGCTAGATATTTATGTGAACATATGATGCCGTACTCCAGTATTTGTAATCACTGAGATTCTACTTTCTCCCCACATCCCACTAAAAGTTAATGGTTTACTGTAAAGGTTTACGTTGTTTTATTGATTGGTTGTCATGTTTGAAAGGCGTTCTCCCTAACATACCTCAGTGTGAGAAGTCCTGCAGCAAGAATCTCGCAAGAAGCTTCCCCTTCACTGTTTCTAACAACCAGTGTTCATATTTAAAGTCAAAATGTATAAATGTGCAGTTGTGTAAACAAAGAACATCTTTTAACAAATCAGGTTTTTGTTATTGTGAAGGGAATTAGACCAAAAGATTGGCTGACCTCTACTGGTGAGTGAAAAAGCACATTTAGAGAATGTACCGAGAGAACATGACTATTCCCTGGAGTAATAACATGCAAGCATAGCAAGCACAACTGAACTATTTCTGTTTTTAGTGTTTATATTAATCTGTTCAGCTGTCCTAAAAAAACACAAATCCCTAAAGCCATAATTGATGCAAACCCAGTATAAGTCTGATAAATTTTGTAATCTGCATCACTATAATTATCTTAAAATGAGGCCTTTTGTCCATTTGCATATGAACATTTTGACGTTTTTGTCCTGGCTGTTCTATGAATTCTCTTTTTCAGTTTTTTTTTTTTGACTTGGACATTAATTTTCAAGGGAATTGTTGTTTGTACATATAATTAAAGTGACTAGTGGCACACTGATATGCTTTATTCAAGTCCAAGGTAACGCAAAAACCTTGTCGCATTTTTACATTGTTTTTCACTTAAAGCTTCTGAAACCCTGTTAACTATTTTAGTATTAATGATTCATTGCTTAAAACGAATACATTTTATTTACCAGTGTAGAGGGCTTGTCTTAACAGCTTTAGTGTATAACCACTTTGATTTGAACAAATGCAGAACTTTTGCTGTCATGTTTGTTCCGTAATAAGCTCTCGATTTGATTTTTTTTTCTTTTGAGTTTACAGTATTTCCTCTGTCTATTGAAAGTGGCAATAAAGTTTATTTTTGCATAATTATCAGGGCAATTTTGCTATCTGTTCTAATCCTTTACAAGTGTTTGGTCAAGTCTCATTATGACTGATAATTATGTGAAACTTTCTCCTTATTAAGAGAAACTATATGGCTGTTATGTTTTAAGTGGCAGTAATGGGCTTCCATACATACCATCTCAGACCAAAGGTCACTAATTTCCATCAGTAGACTATTGGACATATTAGGTATAAGCTAGTCATTCATGATTTTCCTCATTCTTTTATAATGAAGTTGTGTCATCAAATGCTGAGAAGCTTAGAATTTGAGCCTTGTCCTCTCAACTCCACCTCTCATTGTTGCCTTGGTTGCATCACAAAGGATAAACAGAATTAGAAACTTCTGGGAAACTGTTCTATGAAATCACAGATGAAAGTACATTTGTACTCTTTTCTCAGATCTTTGTCCCCATGAAGAGTCCCAAGAAAGTTCCACACTGTGAGATCTGGCTGGCCAGCAGGTCCAGAATTTTGAGCTGCACATGGCCATGAAAGTGGAAGCAGCTCATGACCTTACTGGGGTACTCTAGCAGGTTTACATCAGATTCATGATGTTGAATGACAAATCAACACAGTACTGTGCAAAAGCCTTGTTATCCAAGTATATAAGCAATTTAACAAATGAACTTAGTTTTATTATTAGATAAAATTAGCATAAATACAGATGCATTGTGTTTGTGGTTGAGTGTATTTGCATCATCTTCTCCAGACTTTAGAGGAAGGCCAGCATTATTATTCAATAATTTCAAGTGGTACTTAACTGAATAAAATCAGATGTACTGCTGATGAAATAACATCCACACAATGACTGGAATGCACTTAAGTCCAGAATCAAAACATGTGGAATAACATTGGTAACTTTTTGAAAACTAGCCATTTCAGATAACAGTACTGTACAATTAGAAAAAGGAGGCCCACTTGCAAAAAAAAAGAGACCCCCCCAACCCCACACACACTAAATATGAATGATGAATGCTTTAGTTGGAGTTTGTTTTCTGTACTATGGTAGACGTAGGAGCTGAAGCCCTTTTTGGGAACAAGCTTTTAAAAATAATAAATGCAACAAACCTACAAAATTCCTTACAGGAAAACATTGCATCAGTGGTTCTTAAACACAATCTTGGTGACCATGTTGACAATTTTTTGCATTTTACCCTCCTCTAATAGGGTTCTGCTCATCCCATGAGCAGTCAGTCACCCAAGTAGAAGATTTGATATTCATGACCTTTATAGAATGACAGTGAGGCAATATTTATAAAAATACAGCACTTTATTCATGTACATGTCCAAGTTTTACATATGTACAGAGAGTGCATCAAACCTACACAGCCATAAAAAGTTGAGTCAAATGTATTTACAAAGAGTTAAATATAAAAAAAGGCATGTCACTTAAAAACAAAAGGTAATTGCACATCTCTTGTTCAAAAGGCAGTCAAACATACAGGCAATTGAAACATACCAAGTTAGTGCACCACTGGTGCTGGTATCAATTCTTCACAACTGGCTAAGACCTTAAATCACTTTGGCTGTTCTGCATCTGAGGGAGCTTCTTCTGCATCTGAAGCAGTGGCATCTTCTGCTTTTGGCATTGGTTCTTTATTCTGTTCATCCAACTCTGGTTCTTCATCCTCATCTTCATTTGCACTGTCATCTTCATAATCTTCATTCTGGTCTTCTGCATCCTCATCATCCACTGAATCAAAGGCAATCTCTCGCAACTCCTCCAAATTATCTGGACTTTTACCAGTTAACCTCTGCAGAAAATGAACATTACTTCAAAAGAACAAACCATGCTTTAGGCAATAGTGTATTATGTAAACTGAGTGCTTACCTCAATCATGTCAGCCATGTGTTGGACGTGCTGTGCTAGCTCCTGAAGTTCATCATTTTCACTTTTCAGTTGAGCAATCTGTTCATCTTTAGTTTCTATCTCTTTGTGCAGCTAGTGGAGAAATATTTGATGAGTACAATGCTTGATTTGTCCTCCACTGAAACTGGTTAAGAAGAAATCTTGTACATCTGAAGTGAGAGCCACCACTGCACAGATTTGTAGATCTAAATATTACCAATAACTCACCTTCTCATTCTCCTGGAGAACATTGAACAGTGCTTTACGCCGCTCTTCTGCTATCTCCTTCCAGTAGGCAGACGAAGGAGTTTCTAAAAGAAAGCAGAAAGCTTATGTTAATAGCTTGGTCTGATGTGAAGAGGCTGGGTAGAGTCCTGAGCGTCTTACTGTACAAAAATTCACACAATGCTACTTCTGTTAACATCAAATAATCAAAAGGTTTCACACAGATCAGAAGACTACCTTTTTCAAAGCCTCATAACTGAAACAAAGGCATGGTTTTGCTTGGGTTGAAAGCTTAAAGCCATACAATTTTAAAGCATCTGTAAAGTTACCTTTGACCATCAACTCATAGGCTTCCTGAGTGATTCCTTCAGGCTGGTTCTCGTTTTCTAGGTCTGTGGTTTTTACTGCCACTTCAGCTTTAACCCTCTTTGAGCCCTTCACCTGGTCTGCACTCCACAGCTTTCTCTTAGGAACAGCCTTCCCAGTCTAAAGAGATTAGGGAAAGGAAAGCCTTTGGTATTCTGGCCTGAATTAAGTTTTACTGGATTGTTTACAGTAATTCTGGGGTTTGTACCTCAGTTATCTTGCCAAGGTTCTTATTAACCGCAGATGGCTGAAGGACTTGCAGTGTTCTCCTCCCCGATGAAGCACCTGATGTTTGTGCTGCAAAAAACTTCTGTAAGAGTGCAAACAATCTTGATTAAAATAACTTAACAAAAAAAAAACAAAAAAAGAAACCCACACCAAAGAAGGAGGGCACGAGATGGGGTGGTTTGTAGTATAAGCCATGCGAGTCAAAAAAAAACGTGGGAACAGCCTGAACTGTCAAACTGCACTCCCCTCCCAGAATACAATAACAAACAGCATTCACCTGGCTCACTCTTCTCCACTTACATTCTTCTTAAACTGTCATTGTAAGACTGAAATCTGCCTGGTAGTTGAGCAGCCCTGCGTGTCTCTAGGCCTAACAAGCGTGGGAAAGGGGCAGGCCAGTCATCAGTTGCATGGGGCAAACGCCTCGAATTCCCACAGGTAGTGATTGGTCCTTTCAAATCATTATCTTACTGCAAGATTCCTGAACAAATAATTACCGTGGGAACTGGCTTCAAAAAGCTCATTATGGCCAACTACAAGTTAGGAGTTGGTTAATGTTTTCACTCAAACAATACAGTGGCAGCCTACGCCACAGTTAACAGGTTCAAACACTAGATCTGCTTGTATTGGCAATCATTAATTTAACTAGAAATGATGTACTTAATAAGAGGACAGAATTCTGAGACGTGACTAGTTTAGTTACCATTTTAAACATACAATATAGATAACCTGCTGTCCACTCTAAAAAGCTGTTTTCCTTTCACAAAACACCACATGAGTCATTCAATTCAGTTCTTTAGGAACTCACAACCTGACTCCACTTCAAATGGCACTAGACAAACAGGTCAAATTTTAACTCACCTTTATGTTTTCACAAGGATTCTCTGCTTGCTTCATTTTTCTGGCAGAACTCATGGTTGATTCGAGACTACCTACAGAAATGTTAAGGCAGACAGTTAACGAGAGCTCAAAATTAGAGACGGCAGTATAATGTATTGCACACTATGGATATATTGTGACTTAACTTGGTGCCAACATTAGAGCGATAGCTCAGCACACTAAAGCACATTTTAAGTGCTGCACTTTTATAATGTTGAATGCTCAAATACACCAAGACTTTTCTGCTGTATTGAATCAAGACACCATTTTGTATTAAATTATATGGTTTGTAAATTGTTTACACCCATACTCAACTCAACACAATTAACATACATTAACTGAATGAGGTGATCAGAATAATGTCTTGGTCAGCAGCTACAAGTTGACACATCAATTCATTACTAAGCAATCATCAGTCTGGTAGCAGTGTTGATTTTTCAAAAATCATATGCTCTGTTGCCACTTAGGTGATGTGGTGATCCAGGTCCTTGAGATCCACCACCCTGCAGACTTTAGCATCAACTCTGATGCAACACAGCTGATCCAGATAATGAAGGCCTTCAGGAGTGTGTGAATCAGAGCCAGGTGTGCTGGAGCTAAAGTCTCCAGGACAAGGACTGGGGAACCCTGGCCCAAAGTGATTATCTAGTTAAATGTACACTGGATGAGCATACCCCTTTAGATATTGATTACACATCATTCTTACTGCCATAAAATCAGGATTTTCCATTTTTTAGAAGTCAGCAGAGCCATGTGACCAAAAGACTGAACTTAATGATAAATTAACGCTTCAGTCGTGCAATGTGAGCTGTGTGTTCAGGCAGAACGCAGATACAGACATTATATGGTTAATGCTGAAGCACAGTAGTTTCTTCTCTACTCAAATAATTGCTTGGTTAGACGGGCACAGACAAGTTGGCCAACGACACAGGTTAAAGTAAACCCCCCACCACAACCAGGTACTTAGCAAGCCACAGCAGGCCACCAGCGCGCTTTAATTTCACAGCTAGCTGGTGATCAAGGAAGACGTAGGTTAGCTATCTCTTTGCTTAACATAACGGCTTAAAAAAAATCAAGTTAACTCAAGCAGAAGTCAGCGAGGCAAATAAATAAAACGTAGAGGAATTCTAAGCCCATTTTTCACGTAGCTACCCACCCAGCACTGCGCTAATGAAGTGCTTTATTCTACTACGTTTCTCAGCAGACAGTCAGCTACAAGCTAAAGAACAGAGAGAATATGCTCCTCCAGCTCCTCCAGGAATATAAACGCCAGAACAGGCAGCAGAACGTTATTCGCAGTAAGTTACAACATACGTTAACAAAACATGATTTTTCCGGCCCACCTCTAATGGTGGGCGAGTTACATGTTACTGCAGCACCACTTAAGGTGGAACGAAAGAACTCGAACAGAAACCTGACTTGAAGCAAACCGTTGTAAGATATTTTGTTAGCTAGCTAAACAGATAAACAAGCCGAGGTCACACACTTATCCGGTTAACGTTAAAACACTTCTGCTAACTTACATCAACGAGCTACACAAGGCCACAGAAACCGGCGAGGACACTTATCTTATTATTGAAAAAGGGTGAAAATATATTAACACACTTACAAAAGTGGCGAAATAAAGCTCTCAACTCTCCCAGACACACCCACGGCTCAGCGCTATGATGAACTGAGAATCGCGCCACGAGCTTAAGTACGGGCTTTGTACTCGGCCACGTGACTCCCGGAATTTGGCGCCACTTTGAAATCCTGCAGAGACCCCTAGAGGATTTCTCACTCTAAACGCCTCGAGTATCTCAACTGCTTTGTTTTGGTTTCCCCTGCTCTTTTATAGGGTGACTGTAGAAATCCGGCAGGGAGCATTAACGGGTTTTTTCTTTCATGTTTTGAGACTAACATCACACACGTCTTTAACGTCTGCGCGGTTTCTGAGAATGTACAAGTGATCTCCAGTGTTCTCATTCTCACTGCCTTCTGTGTAAATGGTGCAGACTCGAGTTCTGAGCACGAGCGAGTACAACCTGTGTGAAATTCGTTAAGCACTTGACGTAGCAATAGCATCATGAAGGGCGAGGAGTGCCACATAATCAGTACATTTCTGGATATCATATCTGCATTTGAGTTATTTTTTTTTCTTCAGCTGAAACAAAGTTTGCATGACTCAAACGTACTTCTATCTTCCTGGAAAAAAACCTGCTAACTTTTTTTTGTATTACTGAACCCTCGACAAGCGACGGGACTTAAGTTTTCTTACTTGCCAGCTTTTTGTTCGGATTTTTCCGTTCCACCTTAAATGCTGCATCACTTACTAGCGCTTCTGAGGCGACAGAATGTAAATGCCGCACCATTTAAGGTGGAACGGGTAAATTCGAACATGAAGCTGGCAAAAAAGAAGCCAACTTCAGCCTTGCTGACAAGCAAACATCTAGAGTTTAAATATCTAAATGCACCATCTAGAGTTTAAATATCTGAATATACCCTCTGCTGTCGCTATAAATAATTAACCAAAAGGGGTTAAAAGGAAGCGAGTTGTTTTGCAGGAGGTCTGCTCTCCTCAGGCGACATTACTGTTGTAGCTTATGTCAGAGACAGATTGCTCAAAGGTTTCAGCTACAATGACGTGTCGTATAAAGAGCAGCACAAACATGCGCACGCACCCGCTGTTACTGTCTGTCTGGCCCTTTTTTGGCAATAAAATCATGCATTGGGGTGTGATGGCACTGGAGAGTATTAGATACAGTTTATGATCCTAACGATTAGATTAAATGATCAGCGTACTATACAACATTGCTCTTACAAACAGCAGCAAAACGCTCATATTTACCGTCACATGTCAACCACGTGATGTTTCCAAGGGGTTGCCAGAGTGTGCCTCTAAAATAGACTTTGTGCAGCTGATGAAGCGCTAGACGCACATGCTGGTATTTTTTTTTTTTACTTATAAGCACGTGTAATAACAGCGGAAAATTCGGAAAATAATACACTTAATTATAATGCACGACTTGCATCGTAACATGAAGGACGAATGCCACATAATAAATTGCTTACAACAGTGTTGTACTGGATAACAGACTCAGGGACCCTCCAATAGGATAGGGACCCTCCCCTCCTATAGGAACATCCCTCATTTCTCCTCCCACTGAACAATTTTGTTATCTGGTTAACTGAAAAATCCTGCTCTCTGAAACACTGCACTCGCCCTGCGGTTTTTTTCTGGCTCTTGTAATAGAGCTGGGCAATGTGACAATATTTATCGTTGTTGTGATAAATTACGTCACAATATGTTTTTCTGAGCATATTGAGGAAATCGCCACTACTTAAAAAAGATTGCCCAACTGCATGTTTCATTACAAAGAGATAGGGGTGTAACGATACAGTCAGCCCACGAGCCGATCCTCAATACTGGTTTACGATTTGATATTCTCGTGATATTTTCAACAAAATTCGAATTGAGAAAAATAATGACTTTAATAATGTTCTGGCACAACTTACTAAGCACACAAACGCTGGGAGGCAGGAGGAGAGTGCTGGAGGGAGGTGTAGAATGGTGCTGATCATTCGCAAACTCTGGTGTTTAAACAATGCAGTCACACAGCATAATAACAGAATATCTATTATCTGTGATGCCTTGTCACACCTCCATACTGCACATTGTCACAGTTTTGCATTGCGATATCACAATACATTGTTACACCCCTACAAAGAGCATAATTAGCCCTGTGTAATTGAATTTAGAGCAGCACAGTGTGTGAAATTCTGATTACAAATTGCTGGATTTCGATAGTATTTTTAAATGTGGTCCTACTTTGTCTGTTCCAACTTATCAGATACCACAGAATTTCCTGAATCGTTGTGATATTACATTTTTGCCATATCGCCCAGATCTTATAACACAACTGACTCAACTCAAGGACTTGATCATTAGCTAGTGATGCCACTCAGGTGCAGAGAAAAACAAACTGCATTCGCTGTTGGTTGGGTCAAGTGTGAGTAGGGGGACCTCTCAGGACCAGGGAAGGGAAACACTGCTGGAAACATGTAGTCCGAGAGAGGGCCTGAAACCGACACCGAAGTGAAACCTCATTTTTTAAACCTACCTCAACAAGAACGTTTATTTAAAGGGGATCTGGCAACCGCGTTTCTTCACAACTCCGTGACGTTCACCGCCAGCCATTTTGAGTTGTTTGTTCAGAGACGCGGGTTTGTTTTTCTCCACAGACAGACGGGGAAGACCGACGACACGACAAAAGAGCAGCTCAAAAGACATTTTGCACAACCATTTTGTAATTATGGGTCCACCGAGAAGCAAATCTAGTCGTTTATTATCCGAAAGAAGGGAGAATTTCAGTTGGTTTGTTCATTTATCTTGACATGGCATGGGTGGTTTGGTCGGTTGGTCTGTGACGACGGAGGAAAACAACGCAGCAGCGGAGAGAAACGAGTTGGGCAGCAACCAAGCTTTTGCACGAGAAAAGTGTTTTCTTTTACAGATTGTTATTTGAGAGCGGTACACAGTTGTGGTTTCTTAAACGAAACAGCAAACGCTACGGCGGTTAATCCATCGACAAAATGATAACGGCAAACCCGCGAGATGTTGAGGAACAGTAAACGTTAGTTAACATTAGCTGTCTTTGCTAACTGAACCAGACACACCACGCAGTTCCCATTTCTGCTAGAAGAGGCAGCGAAACAGAGACCAGACAACAATAACAAAAAGGCAGAAAATGTAAGGGTGAGGCCTTGAGCAGACGTTGGCTAGCAAGCTATCAGTGACCTATTACAGTTGATCTGAAATGTAGCTGACGTTAAGTGAACTCGGCGTGTTGTTGGCGAGGGGAGAGTGCGAGCGCACAGCTTAGCTTAGCTGAGAGAAGTTTCGTTAGCTAAGCAGCCACAAGGAGCCTAAAAATGGAGACTCACAGCAGCGGTGACACTACAGCAGACCGTGGGCCGAGTTCACGGCCTTAAACCCCAGGATGTCAAGCAGTTTCTGTGTTCTTGTACCAGGTGCCAACGCCTCCAGGCATCTTACATTTCTCTGCCATGGTCGCCTTTACCCCCCGTCATTCACTTGTGCGTTACTGAAGACAGTTTAATGCAATATGAACACAAACAAGACGTGTCGTGGAAGAGACTCCAAAGTCCGCAGTAGTCAGGCCTCGTAAAGCCTAAATATTTTTTTCTGAGCTAGCTTAAGGTAGCAGATTTGTTCAACTTAAGTCAGGGATCTACTTCTCTATCTCCTAAAGTAATAAGCTGTCGGCATGTCATTTGTTTTGCCAGTTTCAGTTACATCTATAAAATGCAGAATTGAGGTTTGTTGAGCTCGGGATTGCAGCAGTAGCGAGTTAGTAATAGTCTAAAACTGGCCTGTGCTTGTTCGCTCGGCTTGTTGCTCAAACATGGTGTGATATTCAGACACGATTCAAAATTGTTGAGCCCCATGTGCACTACCCAGACTGATCTCAAAATGACTTGATTCAGTGAAAAAAATGGTTTGATTTTGGTAGATTTGTTTCCTCATTAGAATTAGTGTATATTACAGGTAGTGCCGGATCTTTTTTTTCTTTAACTGTTTTAAAAAACGCAAAAGCAATTTGAACAACGTAGCCTGCTCATAGGAGGCACTGAAAGGGGAAAGAGTGTATAAAGAAAGCAATTCCTAAATAACAATGGGAGACCCAACATCTCGAAGAAATCAAACGAGAAACCGACTCCGTGCCCAGCTACGGAAGAAAAGGGAATCTTTGGCTGACCAGTTCGACTTCAAAATCTACATTGCCTTCGTGTTTAAGGAAAAGGTGAACTGCATAACTTGACTCATCCGCTTCATTGCACTGTAGTGGAACGCATTTCATTTCGAGCATTGACATTAAACTGCAGGTGGAGAGGGATGGGGAGTATTTCACAAAGCAGAATTTCTCAGTAAACTGGATAACTAAAGGGGAATTCCACCGATTTTAAAAAACTGAATAATTCAGTCATTCTGTTGTAAACAAAGTTGTTCAGAGTGGCTTGATGTGAAATGATTAATTGCAGAGAAACTTGACAACTTGGATTTCTTGGTGATGGTGATAGGAACCAGGGGTCGCAAGGTCTACAACGCAAAAATAACCATTTTATTTACTATCCAAAACGAACAGTTAACCTACACGTTATCTGGTTCTTTTATGTGATGTTGATCATAGTAAATTAGTAGGATATCTGGGGGAAAAAGTCTTTGGGGGCGATTTAACCTCACATCGCCTTGCATGTAATCCTTTACCATGAAGGTCTTCTGAAAATGTTTTAGGTCATATCCTTCAAAAGTTTAGTAAAATAATGTCTCTTCAGGCATGTGGCTCCTATCACCACTGCTGTGAACAATTCTGACTTGGAGAATGGAGCATTTCAAAGCAAATCACTCCAAATGATTTTATTTACATCCTATCTATTACATTATGCAGATATTTTGAAAAATCTGTGAAATTCCCTTTTTAACTTAAGCCAAATGTTACGGACTGACAACTAGTAATGTTCCTCAGCTCTGTTTCTGTTGCACAGGCATTTTTGCCTTAGCAGGCTAACCAAGAAACCCTACTTTGTGAAATAGTCCCCTAGTTTTGGTTTTTGTTCTGAGTCTCTTACAGACTTTGAGTTCATTGGCTTTTCAGACAGTACATTTATACCCAGATATTGTATGGATCTATTCTATGGGACTAATGGCTCTAGACTTTCATTAGGCAAGAGAGTGAATTGGACAAAATTGTAGGCCACAGTTTAATTATGTTAAAGGAGAATTGTGCTGTTTTTTCCAAAATATTGCATATTTCAATTGGTGAAACAAAGCTATTCAGAGTGGTTTGATATGAAAATATTTTTCTACAGCACTAATATTGCGATTTTTTTTTTTAACTAAAACTATCAGTGAACCTCAGTGTGTCTTGAGTTTTTTAGGTGGATTGTCATATAAATAATGTTAAATAGTGACTAACAAATCAAGCGTCTTTTCTTGTTCATCTGTTTAAATGGTCAAATTGGCTTATTAGCCATCTTGTAGTCGCTAACTTTTGGTAGTACTAAATTGAATTGATACACCACACATACATTCATCTCAGTTACATAGAATCAAGTGTAAAGCCTGTATTTTTTTTTCTGAGTGAAAATCTAAGAGCCAAAAAAAAACAAACCTGCTAGCATGCATGCTAAACACATTAGAATTTGCTTCATAGCTAGCTAACAGACAAACAATCTTTGTGCTGCCCTCTAAATGTTAGAGCATCTGATTCGAAGACAGTTTGTTCATTTATGATGTCTGTGTATTTGCTCCTTTCTTTTATTTTATTACAAATTCATATTTTCTAATAGACAGGTACGCCTTAAATTATTGTGAAATCTAATGACTGGAAAATTGTTGCAGTCAGCTTAAATAATTATGATCATCTCAAGTAATTGCCATAGTAAATAGGCATCACGTGGTGTATTTGCAACTGCTTCATATAATAACTAGCTGTGATGTAGCTTTTAGAGGTTTTAAGTGCATTGGATATCTGGTCCCGATCACAACCTGACTTAGTACGTTTTGCTAAAATCCACCTTTTCATGTCAAAGCACTCTAAACATCTTTGTTTACATCTCAGTGATTGCATTATTGAAATTTTGTAAAAATGGTGGCATTCTCCTTTAACATGCTGAAATCCCAGATACAGTTTTGCGTTACTTTTTAGTAATAGAAGTTGTGAAAAATAAGTGAATAATTCATTTAAAGGCTTATGAGGTATCCACAGACCTGAACCTGTGGGAAGTGAAATGCAGTGGGCAATTTTTACATGTGTGTTTATGGTCTTAAATAGGATACGGTTTAAAGAAGTTTAAGCATTCCTGGCCAATCCGTGGATGTACTTTGTTGGTTTTGATTGTAAGAAGTAAACATCTACAGTCGACTATTTTTAAAATATCATTTTCTGGCTATGTTAATGTTCAGCTACTTTAAATTTGAATAACTTAAAAAAAGAGAAAGAGAACTTAGAAAAATAATCAACAAAATAATAAATTTGGCCAGCAATGCTCAAACCTTTGCATACAGATGTAGGCCAAAAGTCAGTGAGCTAAGAAACATTTCTGGGCATGCCATTCACTGCTCAGATCATTGAACTCACTAGAATATTGAGCTTTGTGAAATATCCACTGATTTGTACCATGTTATTAATTAGAACTATTGTTGTATACTAACGCATTGCTCTAATCAAGTGTTCCTTATTTCTGAGCAGAAAAAGAAGTCTGCTCTTTTTGAGGTAGCTGAGGTGGTACCTGTCATGACCAACAACTATGAAGAAAATATCCTCAAAGGAGTGAAGGATTCAAGCTACTCTTTAGAAAGTTCATTGGAACTTCTTCAAAAAGATGTTGTGCAGTTGCATGCCCCTCGCTACCAGTCAATGCGCAGGGTAAGTCGTTTTGGGTGAGTTTGGTTTTGCTTTAGTCCTGGTTTAGAATTGACCTGAATAATTTAGTACTCTCCAATAGGGCTGCACAGTACAGACTAAATGCAAGATGAAAGATTATCATGTTTTGGTAACATTTGAGATTAGCTAGGGTACATTCAGCGCACAATCAAAAATTCTGTCCTTTGCATATTGTGGCCTTTTGATACGCCAGTATTGCAGGGTGAAATATTACAGTGAGGATTAACCAAGAAGACAGACTAAGGATCTACCAAGCTTAACTCTCTAGTCATCTTGTGTGGATGATAGTGCTTTTATACCAATCAAACTGTTGTTCACTCTAAAGAATCTCACAGTTGCATCTTTCTCATGTGGTAGAAGGTCCACTGTTATCTTCAAAGAACGGTGCAAGAAATTGATGCAGACTGACATGTTCTTTGAAACAAAATAGCATTTACTTGTAGGTTAGCACATTAGAAGTAGTTTAACACTACTACTTAATGTTTTAATTCACGCAAAGCCTGTCCAGAACTGAAATTCAACAGTTCATGTCATTTTATGACAGCAAGAAAATGTCATTGATGTTTCACATTTAATTATTTTGATTTACTGGAGAATTGTATGGTGACAGCCCAATTCAGATAAAATGCACGACAAAGTGTATTTCTCTTTGTTGTAGGAAGACCAAGTATGCCGTATACTGTAAAAGGAAAATCACTTATTTCTGTATTTTTATTTCTTTGCCATTACAGAGTTTCTGTATTGGTGGGGAAAAAAGTCCCATGTAGTGACTGCTGAAATTAGATTAGATGTAAACTTGCTAATTTAGTTGTTTTGCCTACTGATCATTGAAATTCTGTGATCTCACCGTGGTTTCTAAATATGTAAAGGATGTAATAGGTTGCACCCAGGAGATGGACTTCATCCTTTGGCCCCGCAACGATATTGAGAAGATAGTCTGTCTTCTGTTCTCCAGATGGAAGGGAGCTGACCATGAACCATTCAGGCCTGTTCAGGTAACCTACACGCCAAAGAAGTTACATGCTTTAAAAAAAATAGCATAATTTTAACACTGGTAATACATCATTGGTGTTTTTCTTTGTTCTATTTGTATTCAAAGGCAAAGTTTGAATTTCACCATGGAGACTATGAGAAACAGTTTTTGCATGCTGTTGGCCGGAAGGACAAAGCTGGGATGGTTATGAACAACCCAAATCAGTCTGTGTTTCTTTTCTTGGACAGACAGCACTTGCAGGTTGGTCCTTTTAACCTAGTTTACATATAGACAGTAACGTGTATTTAGATTTATCATTGTCACCTTTTGTGCATGTTTCTCTACAGACTCCAAAAACCAAGGCCACAGTTTTCAAGTTGTGCAGCCTCTGCCTCTACCTGCCACAGGATCAGCTGACCTGTTGGGGGGTTGGAGATATCGAAGACCACCTCCGTCCATACATGCCAGACTAGGAGAGACATAGAAGATTCCTCCCAAGGCCACTGAAGCAAGTTGACCTCATACACATCCCTCAGTTGAATAGAATTGAACTTGTGCTTGGAACTCTCCTTTTTGTTAACCACTCATTTTCATTCTGAGGTTAATTTAGTTGTTTTTTATGTCCCTCCAGCCGACCAGTTTTGGGTTGGTTCATTCATTTACTCTACACTTAACCTGTCTGCTTTTATTTGAACTTGCACGAACATTGTTTTTGAGTGGTTGTTCTCTTGGAGCAGCACTGTCAGCAACAACAGACACAGAAGGAACTCCGTATATTGGGGGAGTAAAAAAGCAAACCAATGCAAGGGGTTCCTTTTATTTGGGCCTCTTGTGTTGCACTGGTTCTGATACCAGTGACATGAGTGGGTAGTTAACTTGTCTCTAATTTTTGGGGGAAAGGATAGTTTTAAGAGTAATGACAATCAGTGACAGATGATCGAACAGCCTGCTTAGTCTTAGATGAACAATACTTGGGTACATTTATTTGGTGTAGACATTGTTTCTCATTTTCAACTGCCTGTTTTGCTGGACATTTTGTTTTTTTGAGTGTCATTCCTTGCCTGTACCTTTCTTCATTTTATTGTTTTGTAATTTCTGGAAGAGTGATGCCTGATGGGTTGGAGGTATTAAACATACTTTTCATCTGAGGATATGGACATTAAGTGAAGTCTTTAGGGTGGATTCTGGATGGGTTTTTGGGGGTTTGGCCTTTCTGAAAGTTAATGTTAACAGTCAAGCAGTTCATGCATTATTCGTTCATGCTACTGATACCTGATTTTTGTCTTCGGTGGTGGATATTCAGCGGGGAAACTAATGCTTAAGTTCATGTACCTAACAAAATAATTTTGTGGAAAATTTAAATGCATCATTAAACTTTGTTTGCTTCTTTGAGAACCCCCTTTATGAGTACTTAGAATCTCAGAGTTTGGAACTTGGTATCTGTAAGCCAACTTCGTTGAATAATAAAGCATAAATCTAACCATCCCTTCCACTGTAAATCTCATGGGTTCATCTGAAAGGAGTTTGCTGTGTTCATGACTTACTCATTCTGTTTGTCTCTAAATACAACAACACTGCTAAACATATCCCAATACAGTCCAAACATTAAGAAATCTTGTTGTGGTGCTTTTATTATACTTCATGTATGTGCAGCATAACTTTACAAGAGTCCCATTGTTTTTATGACCTTTGTGCAGGGTGTATTCATGATCAACTGCCAAGGTGCTTCGTGTGCCGTCCCTGAGCGATTATTTTCCCGGTAGCTTTGTTCGTGAGATCCACAGTAGCGAATGCCAGAGTTCTTCCTTCCTTTAAAACCTGGGCTGTGATCAAGACGTCTTCACCAACTTTGGCTGCATTCATGTACCTGTTAACACCAGACAGGCGCTGTTAGCTATGAGGCAGTTGGGTTGTCAAGTATGTTTATTAATTTCTTTAAATGCTTATTTATAAACATCATACATATGTTAAAAAACGAGTCTTAGGTATGATGACTTTCCATCTCCTTTGCTGGAAAAGCCTTACGTGATGTTCATGTCAACGCTGACCCCCGGGGCGCCTCTCTCGCTATACATAATGGCAGTTGTGGAAATAACATCAACCAGAGTGGCAGTCAGGCCTCCGTGCAGCGTCCCTAATCGGTTTGTGTGCTCCTCTGCCACCTTCATCTCGCAGACCAGCTTACCAGGACTAGCTGACACAATTTCAACCTGTTGTTTGTAGTCATGTTATTTAAAAAAAAAAACCCCACAAAAACACACACACCTGGTTCCTACTGCTTGTTTGGGCTATATTTAATTCTTATCAACATTTTATTTTTGACAAAAAGAGAACAATGTCAGACAATTGTTTTACTATTCTTTTATAATAAACCTTATTTATATAGCACATTTTAATACACTAAAAATGCAGAGAGAACAGAATAGAGAAAATAAAAGCACTGAAATAATAAGAATGAAAATGTGATGAAAAATTCTTGAATAGCCAATTCTAAAAATATGAATAAAAACAATGAACAATATAAATAATTAATGCAGATAAACTAATGATAATGAAAAAGTTTGAAAATAAGAAGTGTATGTATATATATATATATATATATATATATATATATATATAAACTAAAGCTAAACTAGTGACAGCGCCTATTCATGCTGGTTTTAGTTACAGATTTACAGACTTTTTTTGGTTTATTTATTTCAAGCATATAACCATATATATACAAACAAGTATAACAATAGGATGCCTTCACATCCCAGAATAAACAGAATAAAGAAAATAAGAAAAAAGAATACCATTGGGATTTAAATAAAATTGAGAAGCTTTAACATAGCAACGGATTTACAATACTTCTTATTTTGCTGCTGGTGCCAATTTACTAATGTAGAAATGTAATTACACAGATCTGTGCGTACAAACGTGATGTATGAAGGTATTTTGATTTACATGCCGCGTTGTCTGTCGTTCTCAATCCGAGGTGATAAGTCTGCCCGTCCGCCATGTTGGTGCGGTCAAACTCCTCTTCTAAACAAATACTCGCTTATTTATATATGATTATTCATCATGATTAAATCAGAGCTTCCTTACTACTTAATACTTTATGATTTTTACTTTTTATTATTTAAATGTGTGTTTAACATGGCGACAATTAGCTATAAACGAACCTTCAAAACTAAAAGAAAGAAGCTGTAAAGAAGTGTCTGACTTAGGTAATATTCACATTTATGTAAATGCTTACAGGCAGTTACGGGATCGGCGGCTTTCTTAAACTACCGCTCTGTAACGGTACTGACTTTGGTCCAGCAGCGATGTTGACCGTCCCAAGACGGTGGCGTTGTTGACGTGCCTGGCCGAACCTAACGCCGCGTCCAGAATTACTAATTATTAATTAGTAATAATACTAATCAGAGCTTAGCGCTCCCCCAATTAGAAGTCTTTCTCTACTGTCGTATGTAAAATATAGCGGTATGCGGTCTCGAACGTAGTCTCGGTTTTAGGCGTCTCTATAAGGTTGAGCACTCACCTTTTTTAAAACGCGGTCATGTCCACGACTTTCCACCATGGACCGCAACACCTGTCTCAGCGAATTTAAAGACAACGAAGCCATTGCAGCTTTTCTTTATAACAGACAGCAAACGAACCTTCACAAGATAAAAGGTCAAAAAAGTGCTTTTGGGAAAGAGTGAATGACAACAGGAACTTGTCTCTCACATACACTAAACGCGTTTCCTAAAATAAATGTCTCTGCTGATTTACGTCTTTTAGCTATGATTTTTTGGAGTACATTTCGATTTTTAATGCAACTGTATCATAAAAAATATATATATTTTTAAATATGTTCCATAAAATGTGTACTACATATTTTAAATATTTGATAAATAATTGTTGTGACTGTGGATGCCTTTATTTTGAAATATTCAGCTATACGCGGTGGTTTCTGTCCGTTCCGTCAACTAACGTGCTCGGTCAGCAACATAGAGATCTTATGAAGAGGTCTCGGTACCTCGTCACTGTGATTATTAAAGCTGTTTTGGAAAGACAGACAGGTCTCTAACTGATCATATTGATTCTGGTTTTTACTCTCTACCTGAAAAAGGCTTTGTTTTCGTGTTTGTTTATTACTGTGTACCTTGAAAGTGTTTGATTTTAAGAATGTTAACGAGGATATAATAAATCAGTATTATGAACTAATTATCTCATAAACGTCCATAAATTTAAGTTTAATAATTTAAATAAGTTTAATAATGCCTAGCTGTTATTCATGGTTCTTGTACTAGAGATAAGAGGGTGTGTTAAAACTATTTTGCTTTTGATAAATAGAAAGGAGAAAATTGAGACATACTTCAGGTTTCTTGTATTGTTTATAGCTCCGTTGGACTGTTTTATAAGATCACTATTTTGCACAAGGACAAGCTACAAGCTATATTTTGAAAATACTGATATTTTCTGTGAATCAAACTAACAGCTCCAGAAGTGTATCAAACCTAAAAATATTTACCCTAACTTTTTATTATTATTATTATTATTATTATTATTATTATTTAAACATTTATATACGGCGGTAAATGTATAGCTCCAATTACATCTTGGAAGAACAAAGCATACAGATTTACACTGAACCAATTCAAATAAATGGACAATGCATACATCCACACATAAATAACAAAGTAAAATAAAATTAAAAACAGATAAATAAAATATCATAAAAAAGATAAATCATAAGAAAAATGTAAATAAATAATAATATTAATAAATTAGACTAGAAAATGTATCTCATACACGGATATGATCTATGTTAATCAATGCAGCGCTTTAATAATTTCCTTTAACAGCAGAGATGTCTCTTTAGCTTTTTTGTTTTATTGTATTTGTAATAAGGAATCATTAAAAATTCAGGTCGTTGCAGAATAGCCTGAAATGAGGCACTGATGCCATGACTCTGGATTTGTGTGTTCGGAATTTGCCCAATAACTGTGTCATAACCTCATTTATTCTACTTGACTTAGCATTCCATCATCTCGTTTATAGAAGTGAATTTGTGCAGAGACGTGGATAATAAGGAAACTATCTTCCAAAATTCCTTTGACAAAATGCAGATATAAAATAAATGAGTAATAATTTCCAAAGCCGAATGGCAAAAAGAAGACTGTGGTGAAATATCCATTTTAAAGTTATACAGCAGGACATTACAATGATAGAAACTGTGTAGTACTTTAAAATAAATTAATTTTCCTTTGCTCGGGAGACCCTAACTGGTTTATTACTGGAGCTGTAGCCAGGCGGCGCCCGTGACTGTCCCTCCTCTTTTCCTGACCTGTCGCGCATGTCTGTCTCTGGGACATAAACAAGACCTGCATGATCAGAGAAGCCGCTGGGGAACATAACCTGGGCCGGGTACGGAAACATTTTCGCATAGAAACGAGACACTGACGGGGTAAAACATGTACTGTTCGACTAAGCAAGTATTTCTAGCCGTTTTATTCATCTGGCCGTAACCTAACTGGCTAACAGTTAGCTTAGCTAGCTAGCTAGCTGTCGCATGCTAATAACAACAAAGTATGGCACATAGCTCAGCTCTCTGTTTTAAACTAGCTAGTTACTTAGGTAGTTAGCTAGCTATTAGCTAACATAGCTAACAGTGTTTGGCATGTAGCTTTTAGGCCTAAATCTTCCCAATTATCTCCCTGTTTATATGCTTACATTCATTATAGTGTGTTTGTCGTTACCACATAAATGGAGGATCACATCTAGCCAGCTTAAATTCCACCTTAAATGGAGTAGGAACTGCTGCACCATTTTAAGGTGGAACGGGAAAATTCGATTAAGGAGCTTCGTGTTTATCTAGCGCGCCTGGTGTTTTTTAGTCTCAGCTAACGTCAGTTTAATTAGGTTAAGTAGATTTCCTTTTTACTAGATCAAACGATGCTAACGTTAACATCATACGAGCAAAACATATAAAAGGCTTTATTGTACAGTCGCTGTGTTATTTTGTGTCTACAGTGAGAAACCAATCAGCTTACGAAGAGAAATCCGACTGTTATACGACCAGCCGCGCAGGTCAGTCAGCGCTCATCTGTTCTAACATAGATGTCGGAAAAAATAAGTATCCTGACATAGTGTGTATTGTAAAAAACTTCCTTAAGTATTGTGATATTATATTTTGTAGGGATGCATTGATACCGATACTGGTATTGGGTATCGGGTCGATACCGTGCTCTTTTAAAAATCACTGATACGCCGTTACGATACCCGCTGTGTTGTAAGCCGAGTGTGCGCTGCTGCGCTGATGAACAAATGACTCGAGCTGGTAGTGAAGGAGGCTCTGCTCACACAGAGAAGTGTTGCTGACTCTGTGAAAGTCAGACACTAAGCCGTCGGTCACTTCAAACATTCCGCTTTAGTACACTCCCACCAGACCTACACTGTGTGATTTTAGCCTGTTATAAACACACAATAACAACTGCTTCCCCAGTATGGGTGGAGACTCTGGTTACTCTGTTTGACTGAATAGAATAGCGAGATATAAACGTTAATAAACGTCCTACTATGTACATCACTGCCTGGTTTAGTTTCAGTGCACATTGTTATCAGCGCTGCACAGTTTCTCTTTGCTCAGTACTTGGTATGCAGCATGTTGTTTTAAATGAAACAGCTTTATTTTAAATTTTCTGTAGACAATAGGGCCGCACGATGTGGACATAGAATGTGATATCGATGAAGCTGTCAGACATCACGATGACAACATGAGAAGCAATAAATTCCTATTAAAATAGTGTGTCTGTGGCTGGATGTAATGCAAGTGCAGGTATTTTTTTGGGATGTGTAAACAGAAATCTAACTAATCTCTCTTTAAACCCCTATTTAAACAAATAGCACCATGTACTATTTTGCAAAATAAAAAGTAATGAAATACTAACAATTTCTTATGTCAGAACTGCAAGCACATTTTTTGTGCACTGAAGGGCTGAGAAACAGTCAGCATTACCGCAACAGCTTCTTCTGTAGAAGATACAAAACCAAATAAATATGTTAATTTTTACATAGACACACAATAACAAATACATATTTTTGTTTAATTTTATTTATTTTTTGTTTAGTTATTAGATATTGTGGTGTCAGACACACCATGTTGTATTAAGTTTAAAAATAACGTTATTGCTTTTGGTTGAGTGTAGTTAGGTACTGTGTTCTTAGTTGGTCAGGGACTCTTATTTTGAGGGACTCATGGGGCCGTAAGGTAGTCAGCTTCAGTAGCTCAGCTGGCTAGCAGAAAAACAGTAGAGCTTGAGCTAGCCTGTGTGCTGCGTGTTTCCCCCTTTGCTGCACACTGTTTTGAGTTGAATTTCTATTAAAGCTGAGTTATGAGCTAAGCATGTGTTTATCGTGGTAAGTCATATCACGATAACGATAACAATAAGTTTCATCATGGAGCCCTAGTAGACAGAGCTGTCTGTAAGGGCTGCGTGTCACATAGCATGGACCGAGCATTTTCATACAGTGCGAGTATGTAAGTCGTAGCTTTTGTCCATACATGATGGAGTATTCAAACGTACAGTGTGAGTCACCAAAAAAACAAGATGTCTAAAATCGCGCAGTGTGTGTCTCACTTCAGTGGACATTCAGTTACAGTCCAACCAACCAGCCAAACATACACAATTGAGCTCTTAGACGTGTTGGCATTGGATGTGATTTCTGCTGTCATTGTGCTGGAGAGACTGTTGTTGAAAGAGAGAGATCGAGGTTCACATCTATAAAACATACTTGATAGCTGTACAGAAGTGCTTTTTTTGATGAGGAACAAAACCTGCTTTTCTTCTCTGCAGCAGTACTCAATCAAAGGTAAATAATGTAATAAAGCTAACTAATGCACCTCCTTCAATATAAGAGTTTGGTGATTTAACTGTTAAGGTACAGTGCACTCATTTACACTAACAACTACCTAATTCTAAGTGGATTACTCAGTATTGTATTGGGCTCGGAATTGATGAGTACTCAGTAATGGTATTGCTGCACCCCTGATATTTTGCCTTATTGACAGCCTCTAGCAGGAACTGTTGATTTTTCTTGTCAATCTTATCTGCTACATGATTCGAATGCAGTGTTATTGGATGCTGTTTCTATGCCTCCACACATTTGCTTTTTAAAATAAGCTGTATTGAGAATTACAAGTTGATGCATCAAAATAAACACATTAATCAACAATCCATCGAAAATTCCATGTGCATCTTGACAGGTTTGCCATATAATTTTCTAGTTGATGTTAGTGACGTTTCCTCCTGCTTGCAGGTGTAATCATGGGGAAGACACTGTCTCACCTGCCTAAGCAGACGTGCCACGATGAGTGCCATGCCAGCCTGACCTCTTCACCTGAGTACAATGCCATGCAGAGTGAGGACAGCAAGAATGGTGATGTCTCCCAGTTCCCCTATGTAGAGTTCACTGGTAGAGACAGTGTCACCTGTCCAACATGCCAGGGCACTGGGCGGATCCCACGAGGTAAACATGTTAAATAATACAAAAAACATGCTTTACTAGAGAACCCTAGAAGAGCTTTTTTAAGAATGTATACATGTGGCTGGTAATGTGACTGTGAGTCATTGGTGCAGCGTGATTGTTTTCATGCAGGTCAAGAAAATCAGCTGGTGGCATTGATTCCATATAGTGACCAGAGGCTGAGACCAAGGAGAACGTAAGAGCTCTATTGGTACTCTGTACTTCAAATATTGATATGTTTAAAATTTTCTATCCCAGAAGAAAAAACTCTATAAGGAGAGCCTCCTGCTGTATATAAACATCACTGTCAAACATAAACTATAATGTTACCTAAGCAATTTTGGGTCAGTTGTCCACACAGGCTAGTTGGGGACTACACTGACCCTTTAAAGTGTAGATGGAGACAGTTCTTTAATCTTGACAATGCATGTGTTTCACAGAAAGTTATATGTGACGGCCTCGGTGATCGTGTGCCTGCTGCTCTCCGGGTTGGCGGTGTTCTTCCTTTTTCCCCGCTCTATTGACGTGAACTATGTGGGGGTGAAGTCTGTCTATGTCACCTATGACCAGACCAAGCGCATCGTATATCTTAATATTACTGTAAGCTTCTGAAAGTCTTTCAGCTTAAAGGAAAACTCTACTGTTTTGTAACCTAATCTCCTCTGTTGCTTCAGCACCTACCTGTTGGTTTCTGTTATAGAGGTCACGTCAACAGGTTTTATGTTCTTTTCTAAGTGCAGGGAAATGTGGGAAAAATATACAGCAGGAAAAAGATTTTGTATATAGAGATTAGGTTGAAAAATGCTGGAGTATTCTTTTAAGTCTCATGTCCACAAGATCACTGCTCAGTAGCTGTATTTCCATAAACAAAAGCTGTATATAACTGTGAAATAAAGCTGAATGTAATCTTCTAACAGTGTGTTGTTTATTTTATAGAACTCGCTGAATATTACTAACAACAACTATTACTCCGTGGATGTGGCCAACATCACAGCACAGGTGCAGTTCTCCAAGACTGTGATTGGAAAATCCCGCATCAGTAACGTTACGAGCATCGGCCCCCTGGACATGAAGCAGGTAGATCTTTTATCTGTGACCATAAAGGTCCTGCATTATTTAATTTTATGGTACTGAGAACACAACCGATTTAGACAGTGTACATTTTTGAGGTGATCCAAATTCAAAACGTCTCATTTTTCACTTTATATCTCCAAGACTCTTACACTGAGGGGAAACAAATATTCAGACACTTTTGTTTATTAATGGACTTCCAGTGTATGTACAGCGGGGTCTCAAAGTCTGAGACTGTACTGAAAATCTGGGATTTTTTTTCATTTAAACTTGGAAATAAACAACAGGAAATTTGTAGAACTAATAGAAGAATAAATAAATAAAATAAAGGAAAGTTATGATGAGTACGGTGAGGAAGTAATGTTCATGATTCTGCACTGTTTCTAGGCCACTACTCAATTTCAAGCAAAATCAGTTTTTTCAGTTTTTTTTTAGTCTTATCTTTTCCATTGAAGCACAACTCTCAGAAGGATTCAGTCTCCTCATCAGAGGTCCTTTGCCCAAACTTGTGAAGTCTATGCCAGCTCCAGTGCATGCTCATTCTCATGCTCATCATTAAAGCAAAAGAAAGACATATCAGATACTCATGTTAAAATTTGAAAGATTGCACTTTCACTCAGACTTTTATGCTAATAATAGAATTTGTAATAATAATCTTTCTATTAAATTAGAAAGGAATACAAAATAGAAGCATTCTCACTTATAGTTTAAAACTTTTGTACCCCAAGGTATCCATGTCACAAAGTTTTTTGACTTTGTACTTGAACAAAAAAGTAAGTTTTCATAAGCATAAACAAAAGTAGGTTAAAAATTGTAAAGGGAAAAAAGTATTTAGACACCACAAATGAATAACATTAGTACTTTCTTGCAAAGCTGATTTTGCTAATTGCAGCTTTTAGATGTCTACAGTAAGAAATAATTACATTTTTTTGCAGCATTGTGGTTCAGTTTTGGTTCATTCCCCTTGGCAAACTCTCTTTAACTCCTCAAGGTTATGGAGGACCCTGTTTCAGAATCCTCCTTAAATTTTCAGTAGGGTTCAAGTCAGGAGATTAGTAGGCCATAGAAGTATCTTCACTTTTTTTTTAAGAAGCAAGTCTAATTTTGGCTACACGTTTGGGGATGTTATCTTGAAATGTCCATCCTTATCCCAGATGAGCAGCCCCTTATCATGATGCTCCCATTTTTGCACACAAGCAAATCAGAACTCTTTTGGAACAATATACTCTGGTCAGGCAAAACAAACATAGAACCATTTGGTAGTAATTCAGCCTGTCGTTTGGAGTAAGAAGCTCATATGAACACCATATCCACATACAGAAAAAATGTGTTTTTTTAAAACATATTTTTATTTATGCTCATGAATGCATACATTTTTATTCAGTTAAACGAGAAGTACCCCACAAAGTCAAAAGACAAATTTGTGTATACTATGATATCTGTCAAATAGATATAGACTTAATAGATATAAGCAGATGTATCCACTGGAAGTATATTAATTCTGCAAAACAAAAAGTGTCTGAATGCTTTTTTCCCCTCATTGTATTTCCTTTTTGACATTTTTTCACAAATTCAGTGTTCAGATTCTGTGGATGCTGATGTTGTCCTCTCCATGTGTTTCAGATTGATTACATGGTGCCCACCATCATAGCAGATGAAATGAGTTATATGTAGTAAGTATGATTCTTTTTCAAACCCCAAAATACATACAACTTTGTGACTTTTTTTTTATCCCAAGCTGTTTTATTTTTCAGTGACTACTGTACTCTGCAGACCATCAAAGTGCACAACATTGTGGTCATGATGCAGTAAGTATTGCACCTTCACAAACTGGATATTCTCTGAAATGAATTACAAATGCCAACATTAAAGTTTTCTTACAGCGCACATGGATGATCAGTAGAAGGGTGATAATAAGGCTAAGTGAGATGTTTGGGCTCTTTATTTGCAGGGTAACGGTGACCACAGCATATTTTGGCCATGCTGAACAGGTCTCCCAGGAAATGTACCAGTATGTGGATTGCGGAGGAAACACTACATCGCTGCATGAGTACACGTTAAGAACTCCTGAATCAGATTAGGGCTTGAACCCATTGCATTTATCCCCCCTTTCCATACCCCAGTCACTGTATCCTTCTTTCTGGCCAAACTGATCTACACTATATTCCACTGAAGAATAATCAGGGTGGTTTCATATCATAAACGATGCACTTTATTTTCAAATACCTTTCAAGACAATGCTGCTTCTTGTAGCAGTGGAACAAAACCACTCCAAACTGAACCACTCATACCTATATTTTGTAACATTTTTTTTTCATCAATTTTGAAAAAGAAAAATCACTTTAGATGCAAAAATTTTGTTTGTCTACTAACTGATGTTGTCGGTTCCCTGTTTAAAATTGTGTGTATAACTCGAGTTACTGATACTCTTTTCTAATATCCGTTAACAGTAGTCAGTGACAGGGCAACCTGAAGCTATAGGTCATGCATGTTTTTTTTATGTCTCTTGCGGTGTTATTTCTATATAATAAGTACAAATATTTATTAGAATAATGGTTTACCTCATGTCAGTACCAGTCCCTCACCTCATGCAGTTTTACAAACAGCGAGGGGTAGGGTTTGCGCTGTGGGTCAATTTCAAGTAGTTTCAGTTTTTTCTGCATTTCATAAACAAATTACATTTCTTTGCCTCTATTTTTAAGCTGTGCAATAGAGGTTGAAAATGACCTGAAAACAAACTACTTATTATAACACTGTTTATTTGGGACTAATTGCGTTTATCTGAATGTAAATAAGGGTTTTTGAAAAAGAAACCAAACATTCCGCACAAGAATTAAACTTTATGCCTTTTGTGGTGTTCATTACATATGGAGTCGTATGCAAAAGTTTGGGCGCCCCTGGTTAAATGATGTTTTATTGCTGTTCTAAGTTAAAATAAATGAACACATCCTTTACAGGGAACACACTTCCGCACATTTTAATGCACAACTACTGTTTATTTGCTGTATTTAACATATTGGGGAAAAATGAAATAAAATGTGATCTGTCAGAAGTTATGACAGTTTATTTATTTATTTATTTTTCCCCCAGCATGTTAAATAAATAAACAAAATAATAAATGGAAACTGTAAAATAAGCAGATGTTTAAGTTCTTTCCCTGCAGAAGATGTCATATTCACTTAGAAAGTCAACAGAATCAGTAATGTGACCCAGGATGTTTAAACTTCTGCACACACCTGTATATACATTGTTTTCTTCCTTGAGTGAGCTACTTGTTTTGCTCTGATGTGTTGAACTAAACAGGAGAGAACTTTAGTAATAGCACTTTAATAATGCATTTTTTAACATTGTTACTACACCAGATGTGCATAACACAGCATTTTTAACATTTTTAATCAAATTTGTGAGAAAGATCTTAAAAGGGATCTTGCTTGAAGAATCAAGGTGGGGGGACACTTATTAACAAATACTATAGAAGCTAATAAGAGAGTAGGCACTGTTTATTCTGTAACAAGAACATGGCTTGAGGTGTGCAATCCTACATGTTCATATAATTTACCTTAAGTTGAAGAAAGTGTTTTAGAAGTGATTTTGTATGATTGGATTTGAATTTACTGAGGACTCGCTTTGAGTTCAGATATAAAATTTGTTTGCCCACTTAAAGGTCTTTGAATAAGACTGCTAAGAAACTTTTTTGTCAGCAGCTCAATAATAAAGTACTTGGTGTGCCAGCAGGTTTTGTTATATTTACCAGGTGTGTTTGAAAATGTACAGGCGTTTTCCAGATTGTAACTGCTGTATGTTTGAGGTGTTTTAGCATCAGCTTAGTTCTCAGAAATCTAATAAAATATGTAATATTTCCAGGTGACAAAAGTAAACTTATGTAAAAAGACACACATGCACATAAATAGTTTTGCTACGTGGTCATCTGAAACATATTTTCTTGGCATGAATAAAGGTCTAAATCCTGTTGTGACTTTTGCGTTCAATTTTAATTTTTTCATGTGTCCTGAGTCTTCATAGACAGTGCAGATAAAACAGTATTTGGGTGTTTTTCATGATTTTCCCTGGGGCAAGAAAATGGAAGCTTTGTGCTTTATATTCAGGAGTAGTCTCGTTCTAAAGCAGATTAAGGCAGAATGTAGGTGACATAACTGCCATTCCTGCCTTAGGCACACATGAAGTTTGCAGTGTGTGTACATCAGCATCCTGCATAGCCTGGAGTTGTTATAGTCTCGTAGAAAATTAAAGAATCTAGAGTATTCTGGTCACCGAATCTGGGGTTGGGTAAAAGCCAGAATGCATGATTTGAATCAAGTTCCTAGAAACAGCAGTGTTAAGATCATGTATGTCTTAAGGGATTTCTTAAGAAGAGAGTGTTCAAAGTGCTTCTTGATCACAGTCTGATGAACGTTGGTCTCCAGTGTTTTTGGTAATTGAACCCCTGATGACTTAGAGACTACAGAAAATCACGATAAACGGTAAGATTACCTTGAAGGCTGAGCAGCCAATGAGACAGTTCCATCAGCAGTTACAAAACCACACTTATGTTGTATGTCCTTAAAAGGACACCCCAGCCAAAATGAAAAAATTAACCATTGCTACATCTGTGGAAAACATGTCTATTCACCTTCTCCAGCTGTCCTGCAGTAGACTGCAGAGTGAGATGTTCCGGTTTAAAGGCGAGGAAACCCCCATTCTGCTGATGTATCTTGAAGGTGGGAGGAACCTTTGGAAAACTACATGCGCTTTGGGGTGGAGACTTAAGGGCAGGTTGTTTTTCCCCCAACTGGTAAATGCAGAGGGAACTTTATTGCTAGGAGGCTGGATATTGGGTCTGTACTTCTTACCATCCACATAAACATCAGTGGCTACACTAGCAGTCAAGATATCTTTTACGTCTTTGGAGATGGAGGAAGTTTGCAATGGTAATTTGACGTATTTGCATAATGTGTATTGTGAGAGAAAACGGATGAAAAAAAAAGTTGCGAATTTTTTTCAAATTGTTGAGGCTAAGGGATAAAATACTGAGTTACAGAAAACTGCACAAATAATAAATGTAAATGCTTAATTTTGGGTAGAATGCTCCCTTTAAAGTTGAAGAATTTTAAAACTGCTTGTATTTAGTTGATCCAGTATGAGGGTGGCCCTGCATAGTTAACTATGAGTATTTGATTCATTATTATGTGAATTATAACTGATAGTTACATGTCAGATTGATAGGCATTCAGGGGGACGTGTAACAGTTTTGTCTTTCAGCCTCAATTTTGTTGATGCTCTCTGCAGGCCATATTGAGGCTAACTGGCGAAATGTCTCTTTTATTGACAGAGGAAACTTTAAAAGTTGTACATGGAACATCCAGATTAGCTCTGAGCAATGGTAGTTTATGTTAGAAGGTAAGTAATATTGTTCTGCCTTCTGTATTTGGCCTGTTGCCTGCCATTGATGTACTCTACCACTAGAGGAAGGTATAGGGCTCATGAAAGGAGTAGGAGGAGTGCAGTGTTCACCAGAGACTGCAGATAATCAGCCTCTGTAAACAATATGATTATTGTTTACTCCTGAGCGTCTACCAGAGAATCACTGAGATTACTGCGAGATCGCTGGAGTTCTTCTGAAGAGCTGAGTGTTTTGGTGTGTGGTGTCACACATAACTCTGGACTCCCACCGTTGAATGGGTTTACTCTGCAAGACACTTTCATTGACATACTCCTGTCTAGACCCAAGAAAATGCAAACATCTATGCAAGCAGTACTTTCTACTGGTTGAGATCAGCAGCCTGAGTAAGCCTGTAACATCAACTCACAAGAATCTTGGAATTACTGGACAAGTGCTGAGCCCAGATTGCTGTGGGTTTAGCCTGAACTCAGAACAGACCAAGAATCCATTTTACCATGCTGTGTGGATGAATTCATTCATTGAAGACCAAATTCTTTTTAATGGTGTGACATTGGTAGTGAAGAAGAACCAGAGGATGCCATTATTTCTGCTTAAGGACATGCCCTTTTATTGAACAAAGCAAAAAAGGCTAACCAAAACAGACGGAATAATTGGGAAGGTCAATTCTAGCCATACTGCATCACTCTGTGGTAGACACAAACCCTAAAACTTTGCATATCACGCCCCTATAGCGTGGAGCAAGTGTCAGACGCCACAACATAAAAATAAATAATAAACTGCCTGCAGGGCACTCTAATTGTTAGCTGCTTTCATAATGGAAACATCTCTCTCATTGTAACAGCCTCTGGGAAGGCTTTAGACTATATGTTGGAATATTGCTGTGAGTATTTGATTGCATTCAGGCACAAGAGCATTAGTTAGTTTTGGATCACAAACGCCACTCCAGCTCATCCCAAAGGTATTGGATGGAGCTTCATCAATCTAGAAACTGCAGTTCCACTGCTCATGTGCAGCTGGTCCAGAGTGTCCCATTCTATAGGCATTGCTTTTCTATGGATATGTGTGTACCTTCAGGATAAAGGCATCTTAAAGCTGAATTCACTACTACCCACAGATTTTCAATGATGTTCAGGTCAGGGAAGTGTGAGGGCCATTCTAAAAGCTTCAGCTTGCATTTCATAAAATAGTTTGTGGTGGGTTTTGAAGTATGTTTTGCATCAGCCTCTTTTCAGCTTCAGTTTCTTGACAGACTGAGACGTTTGCTTCCAGAATTCCATTGTTCCATCTACCTGTGCAATGTTTCCTGCACAACTGGCTGCCACACAAACTCAAAGCAGTTGGCACGGTGTTATTTTTAAATTAAATTCTGCTCCTGTTTTCCTCCAAACATACCTTTGGTGATTGTGGTTTCATTACTTCATCAGTCCACAGTACTCATTTCCAAGATGCCTTTGGCTTATCTAGACATTGTTCTGCATACTGCAGACATTGTCTTTTGTGATGAGGTTGCAGGTAAGGTTCGCCACCACTCCTGTGTAAGCTAAATCTTTCTGTAGGTCCTTTACTGTCATATAGGGGTTTTGCTTTGCCTTTCTAGCCGGTATGTGAACAGTTACAAATGGTTACATTTATAGTGAGAATTTATTTGCTCAGAAAACACTAATATTAGAATAATGTTGGAGTACCTAGTGACAATTTTATGTGTCATTGAACCATTTCCAAACCTCCCTTTGTGGAAAGTTCAGCATTATATGCAGTTATGATTCAATACCTGATTTGGCTCAATCAACACCTTAACAAATCAGGTGTCCTTGTGATGGTATTTGACAAATCCGTGTGAAGGATGGGGGCTTCCAGGTGAAACTGGAAACCAAGTACTTGTAACCAGCTCACAAGATACTATTATCAAAAAAAGTCGTTATATTTTACTGTATTTATCTTTATTTGTACATATTCATGGTTATATAGTGTTTTACATTCAAAAGCACACTAAGATCATCATGCCCAATGTGGTTTAGGCATATAAAACGTGGCTGTTGAGCAATATAACTGTTCTATGGACTGATGGAGCACCACTTAATGATTCTGAGATGAGTTGGAGTGGCATCTGTGACTAGAGACCCACTAAATGCCAATTAATACAAACCATTATTGTGTATTTCTTTTTTTCCTTTTCCATTTATTTGGTGCGTCAGTGAAGATTAATAAAAAAAAAGAACATCTTTTTTTGACACTGTCTTGTTTATGAGCATTGTGTAGGTCATCACACAGCTTTGTCAGACTCTCCTAAAGGTCTTTTTTTATTTAAAGGAACTGCTTCCTACACATTCTTCCCTGCTGCCCACAGAGCATCCACAGTTGGCTTTTTCCATCTCCAAACATTTCCCAACATAGCCTCAAGGTCCTAAATCATGGCTGAATTTCTCTTAATAAACTAATTCATTATGAATCTTGCATTGCCTTGTTAGAATGGTATTTATTGTGGTTTTCCTCCTCCTAAGTGAACAGAGAGGACTAACACACTAAAAAAAACGCTGCTGAACATCAGTGTATGACGTGCATGTGGGCAAGTATTTTTAACTGTCTGTGTACACGGATGTTCTATGCTCATTGTCCATTTTATCAGCTCCATTTACTATATAGGTGCACTTTGTAGTTCTACAATTACAGACTGTAGTCCATCTGTTTCTCTGCATACTTTGTTATCTGCTTTTTACCTCTTCAGTGGTCAGGGCCCCTGGTGGTGGTGTGTTAGTGTGTGTTGCGCTGGTCTGAGTGGATCAGACACAGCAGTGCTGCTTGAGTTTTTAAACACCTCAGTGTCACTGCTGGACTGAGAATAGTCCACCAACCAAAAATATCCAGCCAACAGCATCATGTGGGCAGCATCCTGTGACCACTGATGAAGGACTAGAGGATGACTAACACAAACTGTGCAGCAGCAGATGAGCTATCGTCTCTGACTTTACATCTACAAGGTGGACTGACAAGGTAGGAGTGTCTAATAGAGTGGGCAGAGAGTGGACACAGTACTGCTGTGTCTGATCCACTCGTATAGGCACAAAGCACACTAACACACCACCTCCATGTCAGTGTTACTGCAGTGCTGAGAATGACCCACCACCCAAATGGTACCTGCTCTGTGAGGGTCCACTGGGGGGTTATGCCTGATCGCTGTATATATTGGTCTAAACTCATTTTTAGCGGTCTTTTTAAAATTCAGAAATTTTAAACACTCCCAAATTAAAGACACTGAGTGAGTTCATCCCATCACTAATCTAAAGGCTCATGTAAGCAATAGGCATGACTATTAAGGTAGGGACAGGGAAATGTCTCTTACCCAGTAATGTAAAAAGTAACCACATGCATCAGTTAATTCACAGCTTAGGAATCTAATTTGAATCTAAATTGATATATTTGAATAGTATTAAACGTCAGTACTCTGAGATTTTGCATTCGAGTTAAACCTCTTAAAATTCCTGTTTGTCCTGCTGTCATGTCGGCCTTGGGGATTATTAAAAGCTGTGTTATTGCTTGCTGTGCTGAGGAGAATAAAACTGCACCAGCAGATCCAC